ATAAATATGAAAAGAAAGATAATGTAATAAAACAACAATAGATATAAAAAGAAAGAGAATCCAATAACACAATGATAAATATGAAAAGAAAGAGAATTCTATAAAACAATGATAAAAATGAAAAGAAAGATAATGTAATAAAATAATGATACATTTGAAGAGAAAGAAAATTAAATAAAACAATGATGAATATGAATAGAAATAGAATAAGTTTAATGTTAACATCTGCACCATTATCAACTAAGAATTGAACAATTTCTATTGAATTCGCTTTGATTGCAATACTAAGAGGGCATTCATTAACATCGAGAGAATGTCATAAAACAATGATAAATATGAAAAGAAAGAGAATGTCATAAAACAATGATAAATATGAAAAGAAAGAGAATGCAATAAAATAATGATAAATATGAAAAGAAAGAGAATGTAATAAAACAATGATAAATATGAAAAGAAAGAAAACTCTATAAAACAATGATAAATATGAAAAGATAGAAAACTCTATAAAACAATGATAATTATGAAAAGTAAGAGAATGTCATAAAACAATGATAATTATGAAAAGTAAGAGAATGTCATAAAACAATGATAAATATGAAAAGAAAGATAATGTAATAAAACAACAATAGATATAAAAAGAAAGAGAATGCAATAAAATAATGATAAATATGAAAAGAAAGAGAATGTAATAAAACAATGATAAATATGAAAAGAAAGAAAACTCTATAAAACAATGATAAATATGAAAAGATAGAAAACTCTATAAAACAATGAATAATTATGAAAAGTAAGAGAATGTCATAAAACAATGATAATTATGAAAAGTAAGAGAATGTCATAAAACAATGATAAATATGAAAAGAAAGATAATGTAATAAAACAACAATAGATATAAAAAGAAAGAGAATCCAATAACACAATGATAAATATGAAAGAAAGAGAATTCTATAAAACAATGATAAAAATGAAAAGAAAGATAATGTAATAAAATAATGATACATTTGAAGAGAAAGAAAATTAAATAAAACAATGATGAATATGAATAGAAATAGAATAAGTTTAATGTTAACATCTGCACCATTATCAACTAAGAATTGAACAATTTCTATTGAATTCGCTTTGATTGCAATACTAAGAGGGCATTCATTAAACATCGAGAGAATGTCATAAAAACAATGATAAATATGAAAAGAAAGAGAATGTCATAAAACAATGATAAATATGAAAAAAAGAGAATGCAATAAAATAATGATAAATATGAAAAGAAAGAGAATGTAATAAAACAATGATAAATATGAAAAGAAAGAAAACTCTATAAAACAATGATAAATATGAAAAGATAGAAAACTCTATAAAACAATGATAATTATGAAAAGTAAGAGAATGTCATAAAACAATGATAATTATGAAAAGTAAGAGAATGTCATAAAACAATGATAAATATGAAAAGAAAGATAATGTAATAAAACAACAATAGATATAAAAAGAAAGAGAATGCAATAAAATAATGATAAATATGAAAAGAAAGAGAATGTAATAAAACAATGATAAATATGAAAAGAAAGAAAACTCTATAAAACAATGATAAATATGAAAAGATAGAAAACTCTATAAAACAATGATAATTATGAAAAGTAAGAGAATGTCATAAAAAATGATAATTATGAAAAGTAAGAGAATGTATAAAACAATGATAAATATGAAGAAGATAATGTAATAAAATAATGATACATTTGAAGAGAAAGAAAATTAAATAAAACATGATGAATATGAATAGAAATAGAATAAGTTTAATGTTAACATCTGCACCATTATCAACTAAGAATTGAACAATTTCTATTGAATTCGCTTTGATTGCAATACTAAGAGGGCATTCATTACATCGAGAGAATGTCATAAAACAATGATAAATATGAAAAGAAAGAGAATGTCATAAAACAATGATAAATATGAAAAGAAAGAATGCAATAAAATAATGATAAATATGAAAAGAAGAGAATGTAATAAAACAATGATAAATATGAAAAGAAAGAAAACTCTATAAAACAATGATAAATATGAAAAGATAGAAAACTCTATAAAACAATGATAAATATGAAAAGATAGAAAACTCTATAAAACAATGATAATTATGAAAAGTAAGAGAATGTCATAAAACAATGATAATTATGAAAAGTAAGAGAATGTCATAAAACAATGATAAATATGAAAAGAAAGAGAATGCAATAAAATAATGATAAATATGAAAAGAAAGAGAATGTAATAAAACAATGATAAATATGAAAAGAAAGAAAACTCTATAAAACAATGATAAATATGAAAAGATAGAAAACTCTATAAAACAATGATAATTATGAAAAGTAAGAGAATGTCATAAAACAATGATAATTATGAAAAGTAAGAGAATGTCATAAAACAATGATAAATATGAAAAGAAAGATAATGTAATAAAACAACAATAGATATAAAAAGAAAGAGAATCCAATAACACAATGATAAATATGAAAAGAAAGAGAATTCTATAAAACAATGATAAAAATGAAAAGAAAGATAATGTAATAAAACAATAAAAAATATGAAAATAAAGGGAATATAAACTTTGTTGATATCTTCTCCATTAGAAAGTAAATAAGATGCAACATCATAATTTCCGAAATACATACTTTCTGCTATTGAATCAAAAGTTTGTCCAAAATTTGATTTAAGATACTCAGCAATTTCAAAGTGATGATAATCCATTGCTAAGTTAATCATGTTAATAAATGATTTACCATCTTCTATCATTTGCATAAAAATCTCTTTATTTCCGCCTTGAACAGCATATATTTCGGAGTGTGCAGTGTATTGAACTCCTAAATTTTTCAAGTAATTGAAACACAATTCTGAGCCATTATTAATTGAACAATCAAGTGGTGTGATTTCATAATCTATTTTCTCATTAATATCAAGTTTTGGGAATTTACTTTTAAGATCGTCAACTTTATCCCATGCAATATAGTATAAAGGAGATTCTGTTAAATACAAATTCAGGATTTTTTCAACTTTCATGGTAGGATAGAAGTTTTCAAATTCGAAACCTTTGTGATACAACAGCGTCGCTAATTTCTCATTTTTCGGTTTGATTAGATATGAGAATTCGTTTAATATCTTTTCGTAAAGTTCTGTAAATAATTTAATATCTTTAACACGAATTTCTGAAAAAATATCAATTAATTGAAGTGTCATTTGGATAGTTATTTTGTTGTTTTTAATAAATTCTATAATTTGTGATGAAATTTGTAAAATATTATTGGAATTGACACTCCAAATAATTTTTGATGTTTTAATAGGGTATTCAAATACTTCAATTGGCTTGGCGTCATTAAAATCACACCAAGTTTCTTTTTTTTGCGTGCTCTGAACTTGACATGATTTGTAAAAATATTTTGTTATGGCACTTTTGTGGAGAAAAAATAATTCTTTTTCACTTCGAAATTATTTCCATCGAATTTCACAAAATCCGATTCCCATAATTTTGAAGATCAAAAGCATCAATTCATTTTCACTTTTTCAATTTACCACCCAAATTTTGTGAAGTATTCAAAATAAAAATGAAAGTTTTTACTGAAAAAGTGCATAATGTATGTCAACATTTTTACACTTTTTGAATTGAAATATCAAAAAGTGTCAACAAGCATATCATATTGAGACAAAGAAAGTTTGGTGATCTTAGTGCGAAGACACAAACTTACAACATTTCTTTATGTTAAAAAATCAAAATTGATATATAGTGCTCCCAAAATCTCAGTAGTGAGGGCCCTCAATATAAAATGTAAACCTCTGTGTATTGAATTGGGATTTGTAAACCTCACTACTCTAATTTTGATTGAGAGGGCAAGGCTCTGGACGCTTAATTTGAGGGCTTTTTTTCTATGAGATTAAGAAAAGTTTTAAGACGAAGATTTTTACTATCTATATACAAGACAAAGAATAATAATAAATAGTTTTTTTGGAAAAAAAGACGATAGGAATTATCAATTAAATCCAATTGATTTTGGGTCAAAATTAAGGAATACATACTAGCTTCCATGTAGTATCCTCTTTTCGAAATGAAATTTTGTAATTTGGCAAAAAATCCAAAATAAAATTTTGATTTGGAAGAATTTTGAGCTTTGTTACTATAAATTCAGATTTGTTGTTCTAAAACAATGTGACCATACAAATAATGGAAACATCCAGCAGGAAATGATTTGAATTTGATGGCGAATTAAGAAATTCTACTTGATCTTTTAACGCAAATGGAAAAGCATCCATTTTCTGCTAGTTTGGGATTGCTTTTCGGCTTGTTAATTCATTTATCCATCATACCACGAAAATAATAAACGAGCATTTTTTGTTCAGAAAATTGAAATTGCATTGTTTCATCAGTATTGATGCAGAAACTAACTGTTATATATCAAAAATCATTAAAATGTCTTGATTTTGAGTTTCAAAATATTAATGATTAAAAATGTGACCCAAATTGCAAATTTTTAATAAAACCAAGTAATCCATGATGTATACTGTTATAAATTTATGAGAAAGACAGGACTAACAAAATTAGATGTTTACATTTATTCAATATTCAAAATCTTTATTTTGAATTATCAATATAATTAAATCATATTGCATTTCATGCACGTTTTTTCTCTCAAAAAATTGAATTGCTATTCAACTGCGATTTTGAGATGACTATAATATTATTTCGGGCCTCAGGTGGCTACGCTTGCCCTTCGGGTAAGCATACCATCTTCGGCAAAATAAATTTTGATATGAGTTCGTTCAAACTCTCTGAAGTTTATGGAGAATTTTAATTCTGTCTTTTTTCTATCGGCACACCGCGCCGATAGAATTAATTGATTATCGTCACTTTTTTACCAAAGAAAATTTGCAAATAATATTCATGGAATTGTTACAAAAACATCTTTCATAGATACGATAAAAATGATACTCCTTCAGAATTCAAATTTTTCGGTCAGACGATGATTAATTATTCGAATTATAAGATAGGCGAACCACTCGTTTCTACCGGCGACATCCTCGTGAGAGAAGTAACTTATAAGCCAAAAAATGAGAAAAGAATTCTCAAAATATACAATACTCGTCAATTCCAACTCAAACAATTTGATCGCTTTGCAATAATGCTTGACATCTTCCATAATTGCAAACACCCATTCATGGAGAACATTATTGACTTCAGTTCAAAGGATGAAAAAGGAGAACAAGATATTGCAATTGTCATTCCATACAAACAAATGAAAAATTTATATGAAGAAATACATATCAACAAGAATGACATCCCAACAGATATGAAAGCTTTAATTATATACTCAATTTCATGTTTTCTCAGTTCATTACACAAAGCTGGTGGCTCTCTTCCACTTCTCGACTCCCACGGCATCTTCTTTGATGACAATCATGTTTTAGTCACTTCTTCTTCTCTTGATCCAACAGATGATGTTTTTGGAATTTATCCATGGTGTTCAATCGAGAAAATGGAGAAGCTTTCAAGCCAATCATCCGATATATTCGCATTAGGAGCAATTGCATACGAAATGGAATACAAGCGCTATCCACTTCACGATAGCCGTGATAAAAATGAGTATATGCGCTTAATTAAAGCAGGAGAACGTCCAGAACTCGATGACACACCAGTGAATCGCTTAATTTTCCAGTCAATGTCCGATCAACCCAAGTCTGCAGATGAAATTTGCAAATCCTTACTAAATGGCGAGATTTACCCCAAGGAATCCCTTAATTTGGCCATGGCAGCATCTCAATCACTCAATGATAGTTCCATTTCCATGGATATTAACTTCGACAAGCACTTTGAGAAACAATTGAAAAATGAAGATCCATTATTCACCTATTTATTCGCATCTCTCTACATAAATGATGAAAACAAAGATGCCAAAGCCATGAAAGCTCTCGAATCCAGTGCAATTCGCTCTTTTCCAGCTGCTCAATATCTTTTATCATCATTCCTCGAAAACGAAGATCCGAAACGATCCAGGGAACTCCTTGCCAAATCCGCCCATAACGGATATGTCTCTGCTCTCTCCAAACTCGGCGTTGTCGCTCTCCAAAACAAAAATGTCGACGAAGCAAGACAATTATTCAAAGCTTCAGCAGACATGAATGATGTTCTTGGAATGGCGAATTACGGACAAATGACATTGATTGGAGCCGGCTGCAAACCAGATGAAGAAGAAGCCATGAAGTACTTGCTAAAAGCTGTTTCTCTTGGTGATTCTACATCTCAGTTCATTGTTGGCTCTAGATTCATGGAACAAGGCAAAAACGATGAAGGAATGAAGTTATTATTACTTTCTGGAGCACAAGGAAACATGAGAGCTCAAACAGCTGTTGCCTTTGATCTCGCTGATCCTTCGAGTCCTCATTATAATACTAGAGCAGCTCTTGAATGCCTCAGAGATCTGATCAAAGCAGGATCTCCTTCAGCACTTGTAAGAGCAGCACAAATATTAATGACAGGAGAAGGAGGTGTCGAAAAAGATGAAAAAGAAGCTGTTGAATTATACAAGAAAGGAGCGGAAAAAGGAGTTCCTAACGCTTGTATTGAATACGCAAATTGTTTAATCAATGGTATTGCTGTAGAAAAAGATAGAAACAAAGGTTTGTCAATACTTAAACTATGGGCTGAACATAAATATCATCCACAAGCTATGTATCTTTATGGTGTTTCAATTCTTAAAGAAAACAAAGATGATAAAGATGCTTTGGAATTTGTTAAAAAAGCAGCTCATTTCCAATATACTCCTGCAATTATGTATTTGGCATCAATTGCTGAGACAAAAGAGGAAAGACTTGAGTACTTAAAGAATGCAGCAAATAATCATGATGCTGATGGAATGAGAATTTACGCTTTGGAAATTAAAGAAAAAGAAAGAGAAAAAGCAATTTCATTGTTGAAAGAAAGCAAAAAATTGGGTGATAAATTGGCAGCTGTTTCATTGGCAACTCTTCTTATTGAGTCTGATAAACAAGAAGAAGTCAACGAAGGAACAGAAATGCTCAAGGAATTGGCCGCAAATGATGTAAAAGAAGCAATTTTCGCTATGGGAATGATGATGATGGAAGGAAATAAACTTGAAAAGAATTTGACTGATGGAGCTAAATTAGTCATTGAAAGCGCTAGATTGGGATTAAAACAGGGAATTGTTGAGGCAGTAAAGATACTAAGAGAAGGATTAGGAGTTGATAAAGATGAAGGACTTGCAAATGAACTTGAAAAGAAATTATAGGATTTTTTTTATAAATATAGTTTTTATTATTTTATATTTTATTTATATATCACATCAAAGAAAGAATACTATGAAAGTTATTTCTCAATACTGTATATTCTATAGGATACATGTATATTATGAGTTAAATGAGAGAGAACTATAGTTTTATATATGGAGCATAATCTTTGAAAATTGAACTGATATGAGCTTTTGTTATTCCACCAGAACATCAATTTCTTACAATATTAAGGGTGCACTTACCACTTTCTCACATTCTTTCAATGTTTTTGACCCACAAGTTATATATCCCAATTTTCTATGATAACAAGTTAATTATAAATCATTGCATAGTACCTAATATTGTTGTTATGCTTTTTCTCTATTAAAATAAAGATATATTGATATTATGAGAGTATGGTAGAAAAGAAGCTATTCGACAAGACGGAAACCAAAATTTTGGGAAAAAAAGATAAAATTAAACATGCAATAATATGTAATTATTAAATTGTTGTAAACAGAAATTCATCAAAAGTGACACCTCAGAAAAGCTAAAATATTGAATTTTTGGAACTTTTGATAGAGCACGTTTTTAAATATTAATTAAAGTAAATGTATATTTTGTAAAGATTCTTTTTAATAAAAAAATAAAATTTTGAAGAAGAACACAAAATCTTCTGAAAAATAATATCACATAAACTCATATTATTTTCTAATATATAACTATTTTATATAAAAATCAAATTCAATGATCTTAAAAGCGAAGGATAAACCTCAAAATTTACGAATATAATGAGTGGGAATATAATGCTTATCTATCATAAAACCATATGAAATATCAATTTTTGCTTTACGCCTAATTTTTGACGACAAATAGCAAAAATTGTTAAATGTTAACACTCAGTCCATTTGAATATGAAAAATAAAATTGACTTTGATTAAATGTTTTTATTTATCATGCAATTCTTCTTGCGACCAAAGATTTGAATAAAAGTTCAAAAAAATATAAAACCAAAAATAATTGTTATAATTTAAATGAAGAAGTAATTTAAAACGATTTTATTTATGATCAAATTTTATATATTTTTGGATCAAATCCATTTAATAGAATTTATATACTATTCATCTATTAGTAAACACTACTGTATATTATTTTTTAAGCTATCTTATTTTTTGAACTTTTATTCAAATCTTTGGTCGCAAGAAGAATTGCATGATAAATAAAAACATTTAATCAAAGTCAATTTTATTTTTCATATTCAAATGGACTGAGTGTTAACATTTAACAATTTTTGCTATTTGTCGTCAAAAATTAGGCGTAAAGCAAAAATTGATATTTCATATGGTTTTATGATAGATAAGCATTATATTCCCACTCATTATATTCGTAAATTTTGAGGTTTATCCTTCGCTTTTAAGATCATTGAATTTGATTTTTATATAAAATAGTTATATATTAGAAAATAATATGAGTTTATGTGATATTATTTTTCAGAAGATTTCATTCTATATGCCTATGAAAAGTACTCTCAAAACTAACTTTTTCCTAATTATAATTAAATCTAGAATATTGTATTATGCTTAGTATTATTTCATTTTTCTCATTCAATTTAGAATTTACAAATGTCAAAAAATTGAGAGCTGTCACTTTTGATGAATTTCTGTTTATTACAAAATACATTATTTAATTGTGACTTAATTATTGGACAAGAACTTTGCGACGATTATTTGGCAGAACCTTAAAGGACATTGCACAACTTTTTTATTAAATTTTGATTAAACATATTATATAAAATATAATGAAATCTCCACTTTTTGCCAAATAATCGTTGTGAATTGAGAGGATTCCGATAATGAAAATTTAAGGGTGCACCCGTATGTACGTTTATTTGAGAGGAGGAGGATTACCCTCTCAATTTTGAGGGATTCGTTAGTTTATTTTCTCGATGAATATGCAATAAAATTTGATTTTTACCTTATCAATATACTTCATATAATATACACATGTTCATGTAAAAACTTTTTTCCAAAATCCTCAGGAATTAAGAGATTTTTGAATTTTAAAAATTTTTTTCGAATTTTTTCGAAAAAAAAATATTTTCAGAACAGCCTTAACGGCTAAGATTTAGGAACAATGTTAAGTATCAAAAAGAAAGGAGGTCTGATATAGACAACATATATCGTTGAAGGTTGAAAAAATCTCTAATATTTGAGCCCAAAATTTCAAATTTTAATTTTTTGAAAAAAAGGCCACCCGTATGTACGTTTATTTGAGAGGAGGAGGATTATATTTTTGAAAGGGTGAAACATTATGAATATGTTAATTATATAATAATATGTATTATTATAAAAAGAAAAAATAAAGCACGTTAAAATTTTTCTTTCTTGATTTTTTACAAAATCTACTTAGAATTATGCAAAATATGACTAAATAATTATAAATTTCAAGTTAAATTTTAATTTTGATAAATAATTTAAATTTCAAAATATCAAGTTCAGTTCGACTATGTATGTAGTAATTCCTCAATAAAGTGCCAAAAACCTATTAAAATATATGAACATTTTCAACATTTTAATGTTTTTATTTGAAAATTTGATGGAATATGAGCTTCAAACAATTATTATGTAAATAAAAATAATTAAATATATGTATTTATTCGTATTACAACCGTAGTAAGTCGATTCTTCCTTTCTTCTACTGAGTTTTGAATTTGATTTCGAATTGTAAAGAGATTCAAAGGGAAAATACTAGCGGATAAAAACTACCTCCATGAAAGGGTCATAATGGACTCAAGTTGTATTTTTTGATATTTTTTGCTTTTCGAGCCTAAATAGGTAGCCAAGATAATGCCTAAAAATAAGGTTCTAAATTCTGAAGTTTACATGATCCTCTCGTGTGCACCCTTAATGATCATATATAATTATGAAACCATGACATTTAACACTACCCAAAAAGAAATGACTCAAAAAAACTAGACTGTTATGCTTCCAAAAAATTAATTGATGCATTTTCATAATATTTAATGCAATTAATAGCATATAAAGCTTTCATCCATGACAATAAAAATCAAATACCACAATTTCATACATGAAAAACACCGAAATTACTCAAATTTTGTTATATCCAAATTATATTTTATCTAATAATAGTGATAAATCATTGAAATTCATAAGTTAAGCTTTTTATATGTATGACATATTATATGCATATACGTCTTATTCAGATTCATCTTTGTGAGAGTCGACTAGCTTCTGGTAGAAAGTGGTAAAAAAAAATTAAAAGGGGGATGATACCATAAATTTATTGGGGGAAAATTTATGAGTTCTAATTCCCAATGGGATTCATATATTGAAGGAGGAGTTTTAATCGATGTCAGGACTCCTGAAGAATGGGACGAAGAACATATTGAAGAAGCAATACTTATTCCAAATTATGAGTTAAAAAATGAAATTTCGAACTATGTCCCAAATTTGGAAACACCTATAAATGCTCATTGTGAGCATGGTATCAGATCTGCAAACGCAAAGGCTCTTTTATTAAAATTGGGATATAAGAAAGTTGCAAATTTGGGAAGTTATGGAGCAGCTAAAAGAGCTTACAATGAATACAAGAATAGAAAATAAACATAAAATACGAATCACTTCTCATTAGAAATTCCAAAATTTTGGTTTGTTTTTGGAAATTTAACCAAACATTGGGCGCTTTCTAAGTGGCATTGAAGGTTACAAAGTGCTGATTCTAAATCAACACTTGGCAATCTTAAATTCCTAATTTGTAATTGTATTTATCAATTTATATGTTAAACTGTTATTTCATTTATATATTTTTATATATGTATTTCGTACATCTTTGCAATTTGAACCATAATCTGGACCAAAGGAAGCAAAACTTGCTGGGATGATGCAGGTCATCTATGGTTTCAAACTTTCCCAGATTACATCCAAAATTCTCTGTGTTATCGAATAATTCATAAAACTATAACTCAACTCAACTAAAAAAAAATTCAAAAATGAAATGGAGTCAAAAATGCCTTGAAAATGGATCTTTATCAACATGTACTAATGATCCATTTCAATGGATATTCAATATTATATTAGCTTTATTCATTTGTTTCTATATTTATCGATTTATTGTTTCCTTAATGCCGTCATCACATTCATCATGGATCCTTTATGCATTTTGGGTTTTTCAAATGGCATCTCCCATTCTTGCTTTAGTTCAATTTACAACTTCAATGATAGCAAATAAAAAAGCAGCAAGATTCTTTTTTTATGTTTTCAAACCTTTCGCAAATTTCATGCCACTTATGCTCCTTTCAATTTCAATTCTGAAGTTAGGACATACATTGAATCCAAATACATCTTCTTCCAAACGTGTTAAAATTATTTTCGGATTAATTGCGGGATATATAATTCTTTTGATTGTAGAACTCATTGTATTTGCTCTAAATTCGAAAGATTGGTACTTCTTTCCTCTTTCTGATGTATATTCTATACTTACATATCTAATTTCTTTAATAACATTTTTATTTAATTCTATTGATATCCTTGCCCAGTTATATGAAGCTAACATCTCGGGTTTACCACAAAAATTCTACAGAAACTTGGTTATTGGAATATTTATCACTTCATTTTTCTACATTTTATATACATTCTTAAATACAATGGTTCTGGCATACATTAATACTTCTGGTATTGAATATGCTGCTGCTGTTTATACCAAATACGACATTTTAATACGAATTCAAGAAGCAACAGAAGTTTTTGGCCTCGAATTACCCAATTTTCTCGTTTCGCTTGGTGTAATATATTTGAATAGTTCAGCAAAATATTCATCCATGGGAAATTAATTATTTTTCTATTTTTTTTATCTTCTATGTTTGTTATTTGTTTCCATTTAATTTATTCTGTTCAATCCAATAGATTTTCCTTTTCTATTTTGGTAAATTTTTCTATCTCTCTTTTAATTACTTGATTTTTAGTCATTAACACTCAAACTAATTAATATTCAATACAATTTATAATAATTTTTCAGTTAAAAACAAATTTGAAAAAAATATTATTAATTTTGATATAGTTTTAATAGATATATGGTTTAAAGATTACAGTAAAATGTCTGCTGCTTAATTTAAGGCTCACGCAAAGGTGAAAAAGCAGTAGATCTTTTTGTTGTTCTCAAGATTAAAATTGAGTAAATAGTAGCGATAATTATTAGTATTGAATCAATAACCCAAGCTAAAATTTCTGTTATATGGCTTCTTTCACCTGGAAGATGGAATCCTCTTTTATGGAAGAAAGTCTGTAGTACCTTTCCGAGCCTATAAGCTGCAACAGAGATGAGCTTAGCTGCTGGTGGCTGTGTCTTGTTGAAATATTCACCTGTGACATTGTGTCCAAATTGGTACAAACCGTAGACATATTCCTTAGCGACATCGTAAGCATCACTCTGCCACTGGTCAGGATCGATTGAATTGTAAGTTGAGCTATAGTGTTTTTCAGGAGGATAATTTGTCCAAAGATGTGATAAGTTGTACTCTGCTTCCTTAACAAGAGACTCTGGTATTGGCCATGTTTGGAAGTTTAAGCTGCCGCTATCCCAAACAAAATGAAGTTTATCACAAACTTCATCGACAGGACAGACGAATTTCTCTTTTGTAGCACCACCATCACCATTTGGATAGTCGGCACTGAAGTAACAAGAAGCATGTACAGGGCAATGGGCATCAGCAACAAAGTGGGCCAATGAACGGAAACAAAATCCGAGGATCCACATGCTTGTAGTTGATGTATCATAAATAGCTGATAAGCAATCTTTGTTAACTTGGGTAACATTGTAAGTGACTGGGTAAGTTACAAGATTATAATTTGGATCTACAACTGGTTGATTTCTAAAATGCCATGGAACCATAAGAGGCATGCCAATCGGCTTTAAATCATCGTGCCAGTTACCTGTGTCGTGAAAAACTGCCTTCTCACTTTCCCATGTTGCTAAAACACGATTGAGATATTTGACCTCTGATGCAGAAAGCATCGATTCAGCAAGTCTAGCAATGAAGTAATGAGGTTCTCCCCACCATGAATGGGCAACTGAAGTAAAAAACAAAAGCATTTGAAAATAATTCAAAGAATTGAATGGTTTACAAGATTTATCCTTGAAAGAGACTCAATCCGATATTTTCTGAGCGAAAAAATATGGAATATGAAAACTGTAAATAATATTACCACAGGAGAAAAATCGCAAAAAAGATAGGTGGATGCTTTTGTTCCGAAGGGTAATCTTGTAATAAAAATATATAAAGTCGAAAAAAAATTCATAAATAGTTCAGCTACAAGTACTTTTTACGAAATTTGCATTGTAATAAACGATCTACTTTGCTCCGGCCTTCTTGAGCATCTTGAAGATCTTTCCCATCGTTTCATTTCTATCCTTTCTTGCTTTTGCAACACCAAGTGGTGTTTTTTCTGTTTGATCTTTTTCATTGAGTTTGCAGCCGATTGAAATCAAATATTCGACAACTTGAATTTGTCCAAAATCAGTAGCGACATGAAGTAGTGTTTTGTTATTGAGAGTTTGAACATTAATATCGCATCCCAATTGATGGAAGTATTTAACAACTGCAAGATGGCCATTTTCGGCAGCAACATGGAATGGTGTCGAACCTTGAGCAGTCCTTGCTTGGGGATCCGCGCCTTCATTTACAAGATATTGAATAAGATCAAGATTGCCTTTCATGGAAGCAAAGAAAATGCAATTTTGACCATCTTTAGCTTTAGAATTAATATCATAGCCAACGCTTCTTAAGAATTTGACAACTTCAGGTTGATTTTCTCGACAAGCATAAAGAATGGCATTCAGGCCGTCTTCTTGGCGACACCAGTCCTTGCCAAATCCGATACTTGTTAAATATCTAACAACATCAACCTTTCCATTGCCGGCAGCTGACATCAAACAGTTGTTGCCTTGCTTATTGACTGCTTCGCGATTGCAACCACCTTCAATTAAGTATTGCGTTAATTTTACATTTCCGCACGAGCTAGCAACGATAACTGGTGTTGCTTTGTAAGGATTTCTAATTTCGCTTAATCCTTCTTTGCAAGCATAATGGATCATTTCCTTTTCATCTTTTTTTGAAAGCTGATCCAGAAAATCGTAAACACTCTTGAAGTCGGATAAGTTAACGCCATGCTCTGTTGCATATTTCTTGATGTCGACAGGATTTCCATTAACTAAAGTACTCACAAAATCTAGATTGAGAGGCGGTCAATGACTTTTGAGAGGAAATTAACGCATGGAATTTAATATTATTTAGGTTGATATGCTTGCCTATTATTTCAGAAAAAAATCTTAAAAATTTCAATATGAAAATTGAAAGCAATTCAAAAAAAATGCTTACATGTAAATTTTAATATCATATGCATAATTTCATATTTTGAACATTTTTTATTTTTGTTTAAAACTTAAAATTTTGGGAATTTAATATAATTAATATAATATAATATGTATCTATATTTAAAATGCACTAAATTTAATTGTTAATTGACGTTTTTGAGAATGAATTTTATCAAAACATGCCTGAATCCGAAAATTTGAAAGAACGAATTACACAATCATATATGTAGAATTCAAAATACAAACTTAAAGATTGTATACGTTTAAAATTATTCAGATTGTGTTTGATTTCCACTCATTCTGTTTCTTTTGAACTCTAACACTAACATTTCATGGTTATTACATGATCCATTTATCCATGGTTGAATTGTTCCAGATTCTACCAGAAAATCAATCCAAAATTCTCAAAGCATTCATGTTGATTGGACAAAGTTTAAAATTTATAAGCCAGTTTCCAGAGAAACTCATATATTCCCTAATGAAATGTAATTTTTGCTACATTTTTTTCAATCAAATTTCAAAAAATTGACTGCAGAGCTTGAAAAGGTGATGAATCATGTTGTTATTAGATGTACGTATTAGATTTACTATTTCCAAAAAAATGCTCAAATTTGAATACTTTTTAGAAAATTTGGAATTACACTCCTTACATTATATATAATTAAATGTTTAAATTTTATTTATTTTTTCCTTTCAATTTTATAACGTGCTCTATCAAAACTAACCTCTCAATTGAAGGCCACAAAATCTAAGTAGTGAGGGTACACAAATTTTGTATGGAGTACGGTTCAATTTTTGAGAGCCACACTACTTAGATTTTGTGACTACCTTAGATTTATTCCTGTCAAATTTGCAACTGTATTTCTTTTCAAATTCGTTGACTTCACTTAAGGGTATAGTAAACTCAAAATTCTAGAGTTTTGAGAGTGCCAATAAACTCTATAGGCCTATATATATCTATATTTTAAAGGAGAGGTTACGCCATAATATTTGATATTATAAATTATTAATTCAAAATAAAAGTAGAAAATGAAACTAATTTTATTCTAACCTATATAAATATATCAATAATCTAAAATGATTATAGTCTGAACTATATTTTACCAGATTATCAAATATAAGAGAAATGAAATAAGGCATAAAAATATCATAGCATAATTATTGGATAAATGCATTAATAAATTATTTATATCGTAATGAGAAAAAATCAAAATAAGAAAATGAGCATAATAATAATTTAATTAAAAACAAAAACAATAAATAAAATGTAATTTTCGTTAATCAAAGTCATCAATGTCTTCGTCTTCTGATTCCCATTCGGACTAGAAAACTTGATAATCTCCTCCTGGTACACTCTGAATGGATTTTTTGTATTTGTTCTGTTTTTTAGAACCTTTTGTAACAGTTTTTTGTTTCAATATCATTTTGGAGTAACAATTCTCTTCAAATGATTTGACACAATCTTCTGGAAGTGGGGAAGATGTAATGCTTTTTGTATATCTCCGAGAAAATGCTCTGGATCATTCCATTCTAAGATTGCAACGTTAACTCTAACGTTAATGTTCTTCCAGGCTCTTGATTTGTCCAAATAGCATGCAATTTTGGAGTTAAACGCTTCATTCATGCAGGTAGATCCAATGGAAGAAACTTTGGAAACTATGGGTGTCCATTTGTGAACCCAGTCATAGAGCATGAATTGAAGTTGGATCGAATTGACACCTTTTTGCCATTCAAAGCATTTGTAATTGTGCGGTTCGCAAAAAGAATGATTGCCTACGTAATGGTAGACACAATTCTCCCACATTTTCGTACGTTTGTCAATATTTTCTTCGGCAAAACATGACCAAAGCCACATACTTAGGCTTGCATTCAGACCCCAGAAAGGTCTCTCTATTTTTTCAATCTTCTGAGTCTTGTCGTTGAAAACTTCAACTGTCTTATGAGAAGCTGAGAACTTTGTAAAATCTTTTGAGATATTTTTTGATACATGACCTGGATCGAATCTTTCAAGATGAGAGACGCCAAATTCTTTAAAGACAGAGACACTTTTGTTATCTCGGTCTTTAATAATCTCTTTAACATCTTTCAAGATATTGTATTTCTTTAATTGCTTCAAGATGATTCGAGTTCCAGCACTTTCCATATTGTTGGAAGCTCCGGAATACTGAGCATGCTGTCTGTTTCCACCAATATGGTTGATGTTCACGCATGCAAGAACTCTTTTTGTGACAGCATCGAGCGCAGTTACTGTACAACTTGGCGAGTTTCGCCTGTGCGTCCATCTTGCATCAATGGATAAGTAACCACTGAAGGACTTTCTCGACAGCATTAGGGAAATACTTTTAAGTCTTCTAATCTTATCGTCACAAAATCTCTGTTGTCTCATGACACCACTCTTCACAGGGGGCTTAGTTCCACAAAGAGAAAGAAAGCGAGCACCTTTTGTATATGGCATTCCGGTCATTATGCAAGCACCAAGCATCTGTCGCGCTGAGAGTCGACGACGTTCGTGGAGTAAAATGTTATGCATTGCCTTTGTTTTCCGTTTTGGGTGAACAATATGGCCCATACAACAAAAAAAAATGAAATCCCGCCAAAAGTGAAAATTGAATAAAAAGTAATAATTAATAAATATATACTATATCATTAGATGAATATTTTGGAATAACATTTTAAAATCGAGGTTTTTCAATGGATAACGGTTCAATCAAAAATTTGACCCCATTTTAGAATCTACATTAAAAATGGAACATTTCTGTCGTTTCAAAATTCCAAAATAACGTTTCTATTCCTCTCAAAAGTAAAAATAAACTTTATTGGGGAAAAAATATTTTTATTTTCCAAAAAAAAATGAAAACCTTAAATGCAAATCTAATTTTGATGCTTTTGTTTGTGATTTTTTGGATTTCGAAAAAAATTTGAAAATTCAGACAAGTTACCATTAACACTAATACGTTTCAGCGAGTCGGTCCCATCAGAGAAATTTTCATAAATCGGCGATATAATTTATTATTTCAGCAAAATATTCTCAGATCCAACTAGAATAAGGTCAAATTATACAAATTTAGCAAAGGCTAGTTATCCTGCCTATTCAATTAACTTTAATTTTAAATAATTCAAGACAATTCTCAAAATTACCTTAATAATCGCGTTCTCTTCGCAAAATGACGATTCCTCATTCACTACCAGCATAACTGCGGGCTTGTGCTCACAGAATAATACAGATAATTTACTTATTAATGCAAAATTTAGTACCAAAAGGTAATCATAGAAGATACAAAAAAAGTTTCTTTATTTTGATTGCTGATTTTATTTCTTCTAAAATTTACCAAATCTAAAAAATCCAAAATTGAATGCTATTGAATTTCATGTTTATGTAACATATACTATTTATTATATAAGGAATAAAAATTTTATAGTTTTAATCAAAAATAAAGGTGTACTAAATGCATACAAAACAAGGTATTTTTTACTCATCCAAAATATGTTAACAGTGCTATTTATATAATCAATATCCGAATTTCGAAATCATTTTGATGAAATCTTTATTTTAAAATTGAGTTGACTGTTAAAATCACCCGAGAAGAGGGATTATCTCAATGAAAAGTACATAAAATAGCAAACGCACAAGATGGCACTATGCAGCTTTATATTGTTATACAGGATGAACATATAAAATGTTTGGAAAACACTTACTTCGTTCTACAAATGTGTATCTCTTTATATCAAAGATTCTTCTCAAATTATTGAGAGACTTCTCTCAAAAAAAGGAAAATTTGATAACTAAAAAAAATTATGGCATAACCTCTCGTTTTGCATAGATATATATTTACATGGTCACAGAGCTTATTTTCATTGTCAAAACTTAAAAATTTTTAGTGGACTATACCCTTAACATATGTCAAACGTCTGCGAGAATTGATATTTATATTAAATGAGTTAAATGAATCATAAATTATCATATTTTTGAAAGAAGACAATTCCTCAGATCAATTTTTGTTCAAACATCCAATCGAATAGCAGGATGTATGCATAACGGGAAAATTTAGTTAGAATATTATTCGTTTAATTTGAAAAGTAAAGCAAATTATCAAAATTATGTCTGATATATTTATATTCAAAATATATTAGTCACTTTTTGAAAGGAGGGACGACGATTAAAAAGTGAATATATATTTGAATAGTTGCTTGATACTTTTTCGTGCTTATTTATAAGCCCGTAAAAAGTGTCATAACTATTTGATAATGCATTCATTACACTCAGAATTTGTATAAATAGTATATTAATTTGTGTGAAAACATAATTCTCAATAAAGCAGTGCATAGGTTTCTTTAATTATCTAATGATATGAAAATTAATTGATGATAATGTCATGAATAGTAGAGTATACTATTTTTCCTTGTCAAGATATTAATGAAAAAGAAGGCTCACCTGACAAAAGCTTCTCATTTCATGGCAACTGATAAGGAGAGATAAACATTGTCACTTTTTGATTGTTACAATTTTCTATTATGCAAAAACAAGAAGAAGAGAAACCAATAGTAGAATCATTTGAAGCAGAACTAGCATCAATAAAAGAAAAAGGAAAAGATTTGAAAGGAACAGAACGTGATTTTTACACTTCAATCGTTCAACGCTTAGAAAATAACGATCAAGTCCTTCAAGATCTCCGCAAGGAACATACACAACTTCGCGAAGAACTCTCCAGCCTCACTAAAGAAAAGCGTTCTCGCACAAGAGATCCGAATCTTGCACAAGATATCAAAAGAACAACGCATTCAGTCAATCTTCTGAAGAAACAAATCGATAAATTCAAACACCAAAAGCAAGAAGCTATCAATCGCCAAACAGAACTTAATGTTCAATATCAAAACTTGACTGGCAGTGAAGGACCAAAAGACACAACATCAGAGCGTCTTGTTTCTCTTAAAAATAAACTTGATAATGCTGAAATTAAGAATCAAGAGACTATTCACTTAATGAAAGTTTATGATGCGATTGTTTATCAGTTACAGCGCCAAAAAATGCATTGGAATAGACTCATTGAAGAACAGAAGAAGGAAATTGAGCAGAAGAAGCGAGATCTTGCAGATCTTGAGTTAATTGCAAGAGATTCAGTTCATTCAAAGAATGCTGCAGAAATGGAATACTCTAGATTACAAGCCAAATACGCTGCTAACCGTGAAAAGCGTAACCAGCAGATTCAGGCCAAAACAGCTCAAGTTCAACAACATATGCATGTTCCTGTTAGCGATGACAGTAGCAACGACAGCAGACCAAAAGGAAATCAATCTCTTAATTCGCAGCCATCTGCAGTTCGTAATCGCAATAATCGTGCCCAACGCGAGAAAAAAGACGAAAAATTCAGATCTGTCAGTGCAAAATACGACGAAATACGCGAATATTTCGGAACAAACGATCCAGATGAAATCAAGAAATTCTTTGATGATCGAAAGAACAATGCAGAAACACTTAAAAAACAAATTGAAGATCTCAAAGCTCTAAATGCTGAATTGGAGAAACAAGTAGCACAGAGAAAATCAGCTATTGATGAAGCCGAGTATTCTTCCCATAAAGGAGTTGGTGGAAACAGATTATTAAATGAAGCCAAAAAGATGTTGCTTAAATCCAAAGAAGATCTAGCGGAAAGTGAAAAGGAGATGCTAGCTCACCAGGAATTCAAAGATAATGTCGAAAGCGCTATTTATCATCTTTCAGATGAAATGCAATTAGTTCAGAAAGAACCTTTGAAGGTAAATAGCCCGACAGAATGTCTTGATTGGATATGCCAAACAGTTTCGAAACTGAAGACTTCCCTTGAAGATGAAGATTTCGATTTCATGACGATTTGTAACGCTCAAGTTGTTGCTCAAAAGATTCAAGCTGAAAACAATTTCGATATTAGAGAGACAGAGAGCTCGAAGAGACAGCCGAAAGCTAGACCAGGCGAAATTTTACGTGGAAGACAACAAAAAGTTGACAAAGGAGAGTTTGTCAGCCGTGTTATGGATCGCAATGCTATCAAAGCTCTTGCACAGAGAACTGCTCAGGCTAAAGCTGAAGCTGCTGCCAAAAATCGCAAGCAATAATTTAATAATTATATAGAGATTGACTTTAAATAGTATCATCAAACTAATAAACATGCCTATTTGTATTTTGTTATATGAGTCCGTTTTTCATGAATCAACAAATTCAAAAATATCTCTCTTTCGATCCAAAAGCTTGAAATATAAGATGAGTGAGAGACGCAATAATAGAGTTATTTTTCATTTAACTATTTGATGAAATTAATTAAAAATGTTATAAAATTTCGAAATTATGAGTATTGCAAATAATTTTAAAGATAAAGAAGAAATACTTGGATATTTAATCTAATTGAACTCAAATTCACATTCAACAGCAAAATGATCAGACAATTGGAAGAACTTTTGTCCGTTAACAAGCATCTTATTGACTTCTGGTTTATATGACACTTTCAATTGAGGTTTGTCATGCTTTTCAAACAAGTAGATGTAGTCAAGAGACTGATGAGTTCCTACATCTCCTGGTTCTGGCAAAACTTTGTCATCATCACCACCGCATGTAACAGGATGTTCACCATGAGTGGTGAGAAGGGTGTCAACACATGAGTACTCTGGAATCTTGAGATGATCAAGAAGAGATTTGTACTCATCACCTAATCTGGAATTGACATTAAGATCACCAACTAAGACAGCTGGATAGCCATCAGTGACTTTTGTGGCCATAAAGGCACTGAGTTGGTCAAATTGCTTCTGGCGGACTAATACGTCAACAACTGTTGGTTCTTGTCCGTTCTGGTAAGATGCTTGGAGGTGAGTCGAGAATAAATGAACGTGGTTCTTAGAATCAAGTTGGATTTTTGCGTAAATTGATCCTTTAGCTGCGAATGAATCAACTCCACAAAATACTGTGTATCTGATGGTATCGGATTCAATAATTGGGAACTTCGAAAGGATAATAAGGCCACTGTCGATGACTTGATGAGTGTAGATTGGAGGAAGCTTTGATGTTAAAACGTATTTAAATCCAAGAGATTTAGCACCTTCAATAAAGTTCTTTGCAATATCTGAGCCAAATTGGAATCCTTCTTCAAGGCAAACAACATCGTAAGACTCGATTTTTTCAAGCAATAATTTAGATCTTAAGCGCATCCACTCTTCTCTGCCCATGTGAAGCATTGTTGGTCTCCAAAAAGCATTATAATCAAGAATCTTAAGCTTTTTTGTTTCAAAGTCTTCAACGCGTTTTTCTGCAATATTAACATAGTGACTAGCAGTTCTGGCTAGTATGATCTTAAGTATAACCATTATAACAGAAAGAATGGCAATTGGAATGCAAATTCCAATGCCAAGAATAGTTACAAAACTCATATCCTTTAGTTTTATCGTTTCCGATCATTTTAGGAAAGAAATTTATATTTTTGTTACACCTTTATACTCAGACACTTGCGTTTTAACAGGATATTATGAAATTATTCATCGATTTTTTTCAATTTGAGTAGAATAATTCATATTGATGGATATTTCTGTTTAAATGAAGGAAACCAATCATGCATGGAATAAGTAATATGGATCTAATGAAATTTATGCCATGTGAAGATCAAACAAGATGATTTGATACTTGAAATCATGATATTTCGGAGGGAAGTTAACACTTTAAGTTTAACGCATGAAAGGTATTATTGCATAATGAGTTGATAGGTACATTTTGTATTCAGACTTATAAATGAATCCAGATAGTTAAATAGCATTCCATAAAGATAAAAATTGCTTTAGAATCAATTGACTAGCAATTTGGTTAATGATGGGACTTCATGGGAATTACTTTTATTGATTTAATTTACCTGTTAATATCAAGTAAGATAATGTATGAAAATAGATCACAGGATCATGCCTTATGTAGTACAACTCATATCCATATGTCAAGTCATGTCGAAATCAAAGATATTTAAAAATCAGTTCAAGGATTAGAATTTTGTACCTTTTGATTACACTTTGTTACCAGCATATGTTTTGATGCTTATACAACACATCATGTATTAAGACAAAAGGATTTCTTGCAATTTCTCTAAAATTTTTCTAGCATCAATATGCATTTTATTATTTTATACCATTAATTTCATTTTTATTATGATAGAATCAGAAATTGTGTTAGGCCAAAGTTTTTTTGTGGCTCATTCAAAATTCATAAATGGAGCCAGATCAGGAAGCACTTGATATAGAGTATCCACTTAAAGTCATTGATGAAATTCGCGGATCACAAACAGAAAGCGTCCTATTTACACCAGGCGAGCGTGCTTGCACTCATGCTTGCTTAGATAGTACAGGTCATCTTGCATTTGTTGTTTCTGATAAGGATGTCTATGGCTACTTCATACCATTTGGCACTAACTTCAAAATCTATTCTGGCCACGATGGTGCTATTACAGACATCGACATTGAACCAGAAAATAAAATCATTGCTACAGTTGGTAACTCAATGCATATAATCTTTCACGAAGTTGAGACAGGCAATATTTTACTTGACGAGTTAACAGACAAAATGCATGCAGCATGCTGCTTTGGCCCACGTAATATGCACTTTTTCGCAACCGTCACATCTAAGCAAATGAAGCAGGAAATTGTTCTCACAGGCTACCACTTTGTCGAGAAAAGAGGCAAGGATGATTACCCAATTGATATGTCTAATGTTATGTTCAAATACAAATTTGACTGCGTAGTCAACTCCATCCGCTGGCCAAAGGCAGATATGATTTTAGCCGGTGATGTCCAAGGAAAAGTTCATGTTCTTACTGGCCTTAATAACGACGTTCCAAATGTACAAATCATTGATGCTCACAGAGGTCCAATCAACGCTATTACCATGTCATTTGACAACAACTTCTTTGCTACAGCATCAGCTGATACAACAGCTCGCCTCTGGAAAATACCACAGAAGGAGATTGACCAGTTCGAGTTAATTGGTACATATAATCATTCATTCCAGATTTCCTGTGCAGCTATTTCTCCAAAGGAGCCAGTAATTGTTCTCGCTTCTACAGCAGATCACTCAGAAGTCGCTAGAATCAACTCTGGTTCAACAGATTTTACAATCAACTTCTTCCACACTATCTTCCAGGAAGAATTTGCATCTATGAAGGTTCATAAGTCCCCAATCAACTGGGTTGCATTCACTTCTGATGGCTTTTCACTTATTACAACTTCAGCTGAAGGTACATTCCAAGTTATTCACCTTTGTGGAGATTATGCTGAGAGTATCATTGAACAGCGCAGGAAAATGAAGGAAATCGAAGCTATCACAGACTAAATATTATGTGGATAGAGACTATTTACTTTTTTTGACACATACAGTAAACATATATTTATATTTCTCAATAAAACAAACTTTTTTTACTATTTTTAAAAAGGTTAAATTGATTTTGACCATAAATCAAAATTTTTTATGTGAAAAAACAACTATTATATATAAGCATTAGTAGCTTATTAAAAATCAATATATATGGCAGAATATCAGATTCTCGATATAAGTATATCAAAAGTTTTACATGCACAAAAATATCTGACACGGTGAGGGCATCCTTAACATATATTTCTATTTCTCAATAGAATAAACTTTTTGAGGATGCTTTATTGTCGTCTTGAATACCGCCAGACGACAATAATAATACCCCTGCTTCTTTACTATTTAGAAGGGGCTTCAATTGATTTTTGAGCTTAACATTGATTTATATTTTTCAATAAAATAAACTTTTTATTTTTTACTATTTGGAAGGAGCTTCAATTTGTCTCAAATTGATAGTTTGCGCAACTTAACAAATGGAGATTTGAGCATTCTAATGCAATAAAACATATATAGAAGAGATTTCATTTTTATGTCAAAAAACTCGGCAATCATTAATGGTGTTCTATTTGTTTTATTAAATGGTCTGACATGGGCACCGTTATACAATAAAATTTTGGCAATTTGTACAAAACCTTTCTTTGCTGCATAATGAAGAGGTGTTTCTTTATCAATATCTCGAATATTGACATCAGCACCATGAGAAATAAGAGTTTCGGTGATTTCTCCCTGATTGAAGTATGAAGAAATGTGAAGAGGTGTAATTTGATTATTATCTCTAGAGTTAACATCTGCTCCATGTGAAATAAGAATATCAATAAGGTCTTTGTTCTTCTTGCTGGCAGCATAATGAATTGCACTCAGACCATTTTTGTCCTTCGCATTGACTTCTGCACCACATGAAATGAGAAACTCGACAAGATTTTTACAGTTTCTCTCTGCAGCATAATGAAGAGCAGTCTTTCGATTTTCAATATCTCTTGCATTAACATCCGCTCCATTTGAAATAAGAAGTTTTGTTAATTCGATGCTTTTTCTTTCTGACTCATTGAAAATATTTGTATCGATATAATATCCATTTAAAAGAAGGCTGTTTGTTTTGTACAAATTGATTTTAACCGATTCAGCTGGTTCGTGTAATTTTCTTAGATTTGCGACCTTATTAATAAATGATATATCATTATCAATATTAGATGAATTCTTAAGTTTTTCCTGTTCTTTTCTGCTATACATAGCTGCATAGTGTAAAGGGGATTTACCAGACTTATCTAATATATTTATTTCTGCTCCTTTCTTAATTAAAATTCCAGCTGATTTAACTGCATGATTTTCTGCGGCATAAAAAAGAGGAGTCTTTCCATTATTATCGCTGACGTTAATATATGCACCGCAAGTTGTGAGGAAATCTACACAATCATTTAAATCATTTTCCGCTGCATAATGAAGGGCCATTTCCCCGTTATTATTTGGGATATTAACAAATGCACCATGAGAAAAAAGAGTTGTTATTATACTCATGCAATCATTCTCGGCTGCATAATGAAGAGGTGTCATACCTAAATGATCAACTAAATTTAAATTTACTTTGAACATAATTAAAAGATTTAGAAATTTGATTTCTTGATTCCAAGCAATTTGATGAAGTATCTCCTCTGCGTTTCTATTATGAACAGCATTATTTTCAAGATAAACATATAATGCAGTGAGATTTTTGTATTTATAACACCAATCAAGACTGATCTTTAGACGAAATTCATTCATTAAAAAAGTAATAAAGTCGATATTGTGTGAAACAATTGCGCATTCCATACATTTGGAATCTGGCTTTTGGTATTTCAAACACTCATTTAATATATCAGGGGCACCACTTAGAAACGAATACTGAAGACATTTCTGAGTGATTGTCGCATGGTATTCCGTTCTTAAAAATTTGAAACACTTGACAGCGCCATGATAGCAGCAAAATTCAAGTAGGGTAAATTTCATTGAAAAAAACCATAGGCATTCATATCTTTCTGGAGTGAGTGAAAATGACTTAATCAGTTTTCTATTGAATCCTTCTCTCTCTGTAAAAGAAATAAACATTTCAACATGATCATAAATGATTGATGAAAAAATCGTGTATTCTTCAGAAATATCATCATAGAAATCATCATTTATGTTGAATGTGTTAAAGAGTTCAGAGTAGCGATATTCTAACTTTAAATCGTATTCCTTAGATAGATAATAATAAAGCACAACAGAACATCTTTCAAGTCTTTTGATATGATATCTCTGAATTATCTTTTTAATTAGTAACAAATATGGCTTGAAGAATCGATATCTCCAGAACATTACGTCGCATATCATGGAAATAATTTTTAATGGCTTGAAATCGCTCTCATCTATCAATTTTTTTGTGATCATATTAAAAATTTCTGTAATTCTGCTTTCATTGTACGTATTTAATTTGTATATTGCAGTAAGCCCATCAATGGTATCACCCGAATCTTTCAAAAATTCATCATACAATGGTCCCGGCATGCCAAAATTTTGGATTGAATTTTTTTTATTTACAACTTTTAGGATATTTATATTAACTATATCTTGTTATACGAAGAGCTTAAGGAGAAAATGCCTATAGTAATATGCACTTACATATACTTGCACGTATGGAAAAAATATTTTCATTGAATGAAAGCAATGATGAATCCTTGGAAATCCATTGAAAATACAATTTCTTTTTCCATTTACATTTATTTGGTGTTGATCCGTTAAGGTTTTAAGTTAATTTTGTGCAATATTCGAGGTTTCGCAGCCCATTCCCACAGGAAATTTCGATAATTATTATTTGACCATCTTAAATCTTTAGATTATTGGGAATTTGGTTGTTCTTGCTAGAACCAATCCTCATTCCTGATTGATGGGTGAAGAACATTCATGATTAAATTTGAATGCATAATAATCGTATATGGAAAATTGTCAGGAAATAGATGAGAGATGCTCAGAGAATTTTAAAGGAATTACGTCAACAAAAGAAAGATAATTCCGATGAGATTTGGCTTGAATCAGAGGAAGAAGATATTCGCCATTGGTATGGTATGATAAAAGCACCAGAAGATACTGCTTTTGCTGGCCATTATTTCAAACTTGACATTGTCTTGAAAGATGGTTATCCAATTGAGCCCCCACAAGCAAAGTTCATTACAAAAATATTCCATCCAAACATATCTTTTAAAGATGGAACAATTTGCTTAGATATTCTGAAGACTGAATGGACCCCTGCCTGGACAATTAATTCGCTTTGTACAGCTATTCGTCTTTTGCTTAGCCATCCGGAGCCTGATAGCCCTTTAAATACTTTAGCAGGAAATTTGCTAAGATATAACGACCAAATAGGCTACGATTCAATGGCAAAGTTTTACGCAGATACATACGCCCCAATTAAGAATACTATGAAAGAAGCCGCCAATAATGAATAATTTTCCTCTCTTTCAACGCATTAATACTATTTGAATAATGTTTTTATCAACTACTAAATACATAATATACTAAATTTAGCAATTTATACTCTTTTTTTGAATTTCCTAATTTCATTTGGTTTCATATACAAGTTTCCTTAGAATTGTCCTTCCTAACTCCGATGGTAAATCAATATTCAACAAAAAGTAATTCATGATCTAAAAATGTTCATCAATTTTTCTTTATCGATAAAACTATACTGGTAAATTGTAAGGCACAATTCAGAGGTTTATATTTTACTAGTAATCATGGAATAAACTGAAATATTTTTTATAAATTTTTGAAAAATTAAGTATGTATCATTAAACCAATAAAATCATAAAATAACCAATGAATTTTATATACAAAAACAAAAAAAAACACTTAATTATCAGAATCATCTTCAATTGTGAGGAAATCACTTCCAGAATCTTGAATTACTTCAGCTTTAGATGAGTCTTCAATGTCAATAATTTCATCAGATACCGATTTCTGAACTACATCAACTTTGGAAGATTCATCAATGAAAGAATCTTTATTTGTTATGTTTGACTTCTGTTGTACTTCAATTTTAGAAGATTCATCGATAAAGCTGCTTTGAATTGTACTTGTTATGTTTGATTTTGAAGTATCTGTGAAAACATCGTCATCTGAGCTGTGGAACTCAACTGAATCATCATCATCTTCAACTACAAAATCATTTGATGGTTCTTCGATATGTTCTTCTGGTTTTTCACTTGATGATTCTTGAATTGTTTCCAATTCTTTATTCTTTGCAGCTATTATAGTATTTCTATTGATTGAATTACCGGATTGCTTTGTAAGAGGAATATTTTGTTCCGGTTCGGATTTTTCAAATGAATCATCCCAATTAACGGATTCTTCGTCAGGTTCTTCCTGAATCGGAACAAGCATTGATGGATTGGTATCAGAGTCATCGCTCTTAGATGGTTGCGGCTTAGGTGGTGCTTGTCTAACAGGTGATTGCTGAATTTGTTTTGGAGGCTCTTGTTTAACTGGTTGTGGCTTGGGAGGTTCTTGCTTAACAGGTTCTGGTTTGGTAATTGGTTGTTGTTTTGGCTCTTCCTTCTTCACAGGCTGTGGTTTTGGAGATTCTGGTTTTGTAACAACAGCTTTTGGTATTTCTTCTTCAATTTCAATATCATCATCCCAGTCTTCTGAACTTTCTTCTTTTACTTTCTTCTCTATCTTTTCAGGAATCTTCTTAGCTGCTGCAAATAATGAAAGATTTTCTTCCTTTTTAGGAGGTGGTGCTTGTTGCTTTGCTGGTTGCGATGCAACAGGCTTGGGTTCTGGTTGAGGCTGCTTTTGCATTGTTACGTGAGGTGTTTGATTTGATTTCAAATCTTTCATTGTAGGGCGTATAAATTTAGTCTTGGAAACCTCTTTTTCATCTTCACCTTTCCATTTTTTGACTCTGTCCTTAAATGATGGACGCTTTGCATGAGCAATTTCAATAATTTCGTCAAAAGCGGAATCATGATCTACTGCATTGTTATGCTTGTAATTAACAGACTTTTCTAGTTCAATATCTAATGTCTCGATCGTAAATTTCATTTCAAATTCGTGAAGAAAGTTAGTAACAAGTGAATATGCACGGCTCCAAGCTTCATTTTGACGAATTGATGGTTTACCTTTAATTTGTGCGAAGTGAGGATCATCATTTGAATATAATTCATCAGCTATCTCCATTAAAAGATTTGCCTGGGAATGTTGTTCTGCACCTTTCTGTTTTAATTCGTTAGCAGTCATTTCAAGAAGGTCTTCACGGGGAATTCGTGGTCTAATGCGCTTTCCTCGTGGAATATGGTACGTACTCATTTAATTTCTTCTTTTTTAAACGTAATCCTAAAAAGTGACAGAATATAAACTCAATTTGCTCTAAAGCAGTTGCACTCTTCTATTTTAGATCTTCAAGATTAATGTAAAAAATTAATTTGAATAGATCAAAAATCTTCATGGCTAATTCTTTTGTTTATTCGTTAGAGCTCGATAGTTGTATTTTTGGTCTTTTTATATCACCATTACCATTACTAAATAAGCATATGAATAACATGGATAAAGAAACATGGGGCAGATTCGACATCAAGTTTATCAAAAATGATAAAATTTCATTCTTACAATCGCGAAAGCTAGACACAATATCAAACCAAATATGTAACGATATGGGCATTAATTTACCAAAGAATTTTTACTTAATTCCTACATTATCTACTGAATTTGATATTGAAACAGCAAAAAATGAAACAAACTTTATGATTCTTTTTACAACCATACTTAAAAAGTCCAACATTGATCCTTTATTGATATATAAGTATCCAGAAAATCCAAACACTCATTCTCGTGAAGTTTATCAACAAAGCGTCGATTTACATCGTCTAGTTGAAATAGAACACAATTTCACACCAGAAACTGAGAGAGAAATAGAGACACTTTTACAACAATATTTAGACGTTTCAGGAATCAAATTTACACAAAACTCAATCTTTCCAAAGATCAGTCTTAACAAAGATGAATTATTTTCACCTGCATTTTCAATGATTAAATTTATTTCTTATTTTAGATCGTATTTAAATGCATTATCCAAGATTATTCCTTTACTTTCAACATTTGAAATAGATCAAAATAACTTTCCTCATCTAGTCGAATGCTTTTCTTTAGAGTTTATCCCATCTTTCGTTAAAAATCATAATACATCAGAAAGAATTGGCGATGCTATACTAGAAGTTGTAATTACTAATTCAATAATAAGTTCTTTAGTAGGAAAGAAGAACTATTTCGTCAATAAACAGATCAGAATCGCAGTATCAAATAAATTGTTCGGAGTTATAGGCGAACACTTCAATTTTCCAAGTTGCTTCATTGGCCCATTCGATGTCGAGAAACTTCCAGGCGATTGCTTTGAAAGTATCGCTGGAAAACTTTACAAACTTTATGGTTACGATAAAGTTGTCACTTTTTGGCAAAAATCTTTATTTGCCATTCCTATTGATGTTGCACAGAAGATGGATATAGTCAAAGCAATTGAAGTTATGAAGATTTCAATGCAATCCAGTTCCATGGACTTAACACCTGATCCAAATTTAGATATCAAAATTAAAAATTTGATTGGAAATAATTTGGTCCCTCCTCCTGTTATAAAAGACGAAATGCTTACGAAATGCAAGCTAATCGGTGCTGCACTTATAAAACTCGGCATTGTTGAGCAAGTTATTGCTAGAATTCATGAAACAGAAGAATGCATATTAATTCAATCGATTGGAAGCAAATCTTCAATCGATTCTGTTGCAAAGAAGCTTGGATTGAAAGATTCCAAGCATTTGAGAATTATTTGTGGTGGAATTATGCTTCAAAATGATTTCGAAAAGACAAGAGAATTTATCGAAGTCAAAATAATTCCACATTTCAATATTGTAAGTGAAATGAGATCAGGGAGAATTCATTCACAAGATATTGTTAGAAAATAGAGTGTAAATATCAAATTCTTTATAAAATCAATTTTTAGAACTTTTTTTATCTTTATCTTCAGAATGAAACAGATCATAAATACAGACACTATTTGTTGATCCAAATGATGCATTTATATATAGGTTTTTCGAGTCACATTTTGTGATTAAAGAGGTCAGGATAAAAAGGTGATCCTCGAATCGAGAAACAATGAGAATTTATCTCAACTCAAAGATTGTGCATGATTATTCCCAACAAGAAGAAAATTCGTTCTATTTGAAGATTGTGATAGTTCAGGTAAGTTATTTCCAAACATAGAACAGATCTGCTAACCTGATAGAACAACAGAGATTGGTCAGATAATCAATGTTATTTAAATAAATTTTTAAATCCTGTTGATAAAGCAATCTATAACTGCCAAATATATGGATATTAATTGGTGTTTGGTCCAATATAAAGGACTTCCTCAATTTGAACTTGTTTTATTTGTTAGCAAATGTAAGGGATTTGGTGAGGAAATATACAAAGCTTCCTGAGATCTGAAATTATATCAAATTTATTTTTTTGATAATAGAGCCAGAGTATGTTTTTACCATCATTCCATTGATCTCAAAACTTTATTCCACTCATTCGAACAAAAAGAAACATGATAAATTTTTATAATCTATAATAATATAAGCTTCTGTATAAAAATCATATTATTTTAGGCATCCTTATTGTTTTTGTGTCAGTTTATATCTATGATCTTAATCTAAAATTCTTAAATTAAATTCGAAATCTTTGTGGTCATTGTTTTCCACATGTATTGCATAGCATTTATTTCTCATAATGGATTTCAAAGGATATTTTTTATTGTAAAATGTATATTAAAAAATTTGACAAAATTTAATGTCTGATCATCCAAATAAATACAGTGAACTGCGAAACACCTATAAGTACTACATAGATTCATATACTGCACTATATCAGTTAAAAACGGACAAAGAAGAAGACTTAAACGAGATTTACAAAATGATCAAAACAGAATTGATTGATTCAAATAAAAAGCGCCCAGACAATATTATGAGAGACATTTTATCCATTATTCCGACTAACAATCGCTATACAAAATCATATTTATCTCTTGCGAAACTCATATATGATGATTATCATATCAAAGAGGTAACCCATATTTCCATTACTTCAAACTTCCTGTTTTATAAAGAATATGGAATCAAATTAAACAAATATGAAAATTTCGAAAAAATTAATACTGAAAATTTGGATATTCATAAAGAAGATACGATATACAGAGCAATTATGTATAATGACCTAAAAACATTCATTCAATTCACCGAAAGAGATGGATTTAATAAAAATCAAGAGCTCAAAATCAGTCTATATCCAAATTCTTACGAGAGATATTCATTACTTGAATTATGTTGTTATCATGGAGCAGTTGATTGTTTCAAGTTATTAAGAACAAAATTTAACTCAGAAATAACTCAAATGTGTCTCAAATTATCATTCCTAGGAAGAAATCAAGAGATCATGAGTGAATGTTTGAAATATCAAAAACCAGGTTATGTATGCATGGAATATGCAATTATTTCACATAATATTGATTTTGTTACATTCTTGATGAATGAATACAATATGGAGATCAATTTAATATATTGTGGATGGTATAAAAATCTTGAATCCTTTTTAGTTTATTTCGATCTAACAAATGATGTTAACCAATGCTTTGTTTTTTCAGCATGTTTCAATATTCCATCCCTTTGGGAATATTTCCTTTCCCTTGGTGTAAATATCAATGGAAAAGATAAATTTGGAAATACCGCACTTCATCTTGCAGCAATTTATAATAGCAAAGAAATTGCTGAACTTCTTATTTCACATGGTGCAAATATCAATGAAAAAGATAAATATGGACAAACCGCTCTTCACCTTGCAGCACAAAATAATAGTAAAGAAACAGCTGAATTGCTTATTTTGTATGGTATAAATATCAATGAAAACGATGCATATGGAGAAACCGCTTTTCATAAAGCAGTAAGTTTTAATAGTAAAGAAACAGCTGAAGTTCTGATATCAAATGGTATAAATATCAATGAAAAAACCAAAAAAGGAAAAACTGCTCTTCATTATGCTGCACAAAATAATTATAAAGAAACGGCCGAACTACTAATTTTACATGGTGCAAATATCAATGTAAAAGACAAAAATGGAGAAACACCTCTTCATATGGCAGCATGCAATAATAGTAAAGAAACAGCTGAAGTTCTGATATCACATGGTGCAAATATCAATGAAAAAAACAAAAATGGAGAAACACCTCTTCATTATGCAAGAGATCATGATTATAAAGAAACAGCCGAACTTCTGATTTCACATGGTGCAACAATATGATGTTCCTACATGACATTTTCCCATATTTTTACTGGTATTTTTGAAGATAAATTTCATTAGAAAAAAATAAATAAAACGATTTATTCGTACCATCCCTCAAATTTTTATCAATTTTGCATACTTCTAAAAAATTGGGACATATTTTTTTATATAATATTGAGTTTCCAAAGATTAAAATAATAATTGGCTGAGCAATTAATAGTCTTTGTATGGCTACTGATATCATCCACTTATATGGATGGAGGAGCACTATTATTGGTCAGATCAAAAACTGCATAGCATTCCAACAAGTGGAGAGTCAGCAGTTATTTCAACTGAAGTCGACTATTAGATTTTTGAACTTTTGTATATTGGCGGGAAAGGCTTTGATTCTTCCCTCAATTCCATCTACTTTATTACTATTACAACTATTTCATTTTTAATATATAGGAATTCCTTTTGGAGAAACAATGGCGGGAATCTCCAAAATCAAATTAAACAAATACAAAATGTCATTGTTGAAAAATTGAGAATTTTAAAATAAACTTATAATGATATTATTTGAGCATATAGGAAGGTTTTATGAGCACTTTACAAAATATGAATCGCAGATTTAGCATGTTCATATTAAAAAAAGACTCCAAGATCGAATTAGAAAATCCAAATTTATTAGAAAATATGTGTTTTTTAGTATAAACATAATTATTTATAGGTATATGCAGGATGTCGTTCATGAACGAAACTAATATCAGGATAGCAACCTTTGTAATTGAGAAAACCTGTTATAACTATAGTGCGTTTTTCCAAACGTAAAAGGCAGGGGGCGGCGACAAATTTGCCCTGCCAGTAAAGTATTCAATTTTTTTTGCATTTTTTAAGGGTGCACACGAGAGGATCATGTAAACTTCAGAATTTAGCTTCTTAACTTAAATCATGGAATGTCTCAAAGACAAAAGTAGCATACAGCATGTAAAGCTAAAGAAAGATAATCATAATTAATACCTTAATTTTTAATATTACGCATTTTTAGGTGCGAAATTTAAAAACATTCTAATACAATAGCGCAGTTTCCAAAAGTAGCATACAGCATGTAAAGCTAAAGAAAGATAATCATAATTAATACCTTAATTTTTAATATTACGCATTTTTAGGTGCGAAATTTAAAAACATTCTAATACAATAGCGCAGTTTCCAAAAGTAGCATACAGCATGCAAAGCTAAAGAAAGATAATCATAATTAATACCTTAATTTTTAATATTACGCATTTTTAGGTGCGAAATTTAAAAACATTCTAATACAATAGAGCAGCTTCCAAAAGTAGCATACAGCATGTAAAGCTAAAGAAAGATAATCATAATTAATACCTTTAAAGTTTAAAATCTTGATTTTTTTTAAAATCAAATATTTATAACTTTAATACATACAGCTTAAACCTTATACTTGTTTTCTCTTGTGAGAAAGCAATCTTACAAAGCTAACAATCCTAAAAAATAAAGAATTAAAATTTAATAATTTAATCTAACAAAATTTCTCTCTTTATCCTTTTGCACTCTTTATATGCAACTCAAATCCATCATATAATATTCCTATAATACTCTTGCCTCAAACAATGACGAACAAACTGCTATTCTCATTTAATTACAGACCAAATCTATTCAAATTTCTGAATTTTTAATTTTCATTTCAATTTCAAATGGAATTAGAAGAAGAAACTATCTTTACTGTTATGGATCTTTGTAAATTTGGAGTTAAACAAGAAATACAAGCACAGTATGGATATGGTGAACGTGTCAGGAAAGAAAGATCTCAGATTTCATTCCACTGCAAATATCCAAAATGTCCTGCACATTTTAATGTTGCAATCTTGGATCAAAATAAATACAAACTAATCAAAATAGTTGAAGAACATGATCATTCCGCCCCAAATGACAAAAGTCAATATTCGTCTGTCTTTTATCGCAAATATTTAGAACATTACTTCCAAACAGATGACAATCAAAGAGCGATAGCACAGCTAAATGCATTCAAAGATCTTGAAATTCCTCTTACAGGTCCGTCCATTCCAGAGATGTACGCTCAAAAACCACGTGCAATCAAACGATTTGCAGAGAGAATACATGCTCTTCAAACTAGATATTCTCCTGACGATGTTGTGTCATTGCAAATCTTTGTTCAGACAGTACAAGAAGAATCTCCAGATGATCTCATTGCATTTGAAGTCTCAGACAATAATATGTGTTTCTATTACGCGCCTTTTGAAGGCAAAGCTTATGCGCATAGTATCAAGACATTTCATATAGACAGCACCTATAAATTGTTGCGATCAAACATTCCATTGTATGCATTTACTGGCAAAATCAAAGATTTTCACATTTTCCCTTTTTTATATTTCTTTTGTCAACCAGACACTTATCAAAACATTCAAGTTTGCGTGTGCGCCTATCTCAGATGGGTAACAATTGAGCCAGAATACATTAGCATGGACTGTGCTCCACAGATAGCTCAAGCAATAGAAGAAAGCATTCCACAAGCTCAAATACTTTGGTGCGGAGTACATGTTCTTCGTGCAATTCTTCGCAAATCAAATAAGTTTTCTTCTCAAGAAAAATTTGAACAATTCTATAATTTGATGAAGGATTTAGTCTTCAAATTAGATGCAGAACATGAGGAAGAAGCAAATGCTGCCTATGATCAAGTTCTGGAGTTGCTCGACACAGATCCAACAGCATCTCAATACTTTAACAGACAATGGCGTTACAACATATCAAGATGGATTGCTCGTGACAGGCGTGAAGGCGACGCAACTAACAATATTGCCGAAGCTCATTTTAGAACACTCAAACATGACTATTTTCCTGATCGAAAAAATCTCAGAATTGATGATGTTATTATAGAAATTTATACAAAAGTGATATCATCTTTCGTTATCAAACTCAAAATTGATCAAAATCCAGCAGATGACCGTGTCATTAGGATCATGGAAAAAGCAACTAACGCAGAAATTGATGTAAAAAGACAAAGAAAAATCGAGAGTATTTCAATGCTCAATAGATTGCTCAATGCTGTTAGTGATGACTCAATAGATCCCACTAAAATATATCCTACCTTGAAAGTATTATTACAAAGAACTCATTTTATTTAATTTTGATTTTAATTTTAGATTAAATTATTAAATTTTAATTCTTTATTTTTTAGGATTGTTAGCTTTGTAAGATTGCTTTCTCACAAGAGAAAACAAGTATAAGGTTTAAGCTGTATGTATTAAAGTTATAAATATTTGATTTTAAAAAAAATCAAGATTTTAAACTTTAAAGGTATTAATTATGATTATCTTTCTTTAGCTTTACATGCTGTATGCTACTTTTGGAAACTGCGCTATTGTATTAGAATGTTTTTAAATTTTGCACCTAAAAATGCGTAATATTAAAAATTAAGGTATTAATTATGATTATCTTTCTTTAGCTTTGCATGCTGTATGCTACTTTTGGAAACTGCGCTATTGTATTAGAATGTTTTTAAATTTTGCACCTAAAAATGCGTAATATTAAAAATTAAGGTATTAATTATGATTATCTTTCTTTAGCTTTACATGCTGTATGCTACTTTTGTCTTTGAGACATTCCATGATTTAAGTTAAGAAGCTTTAAAAAAAAATGCAAAAAAAATAAAATGTAATAAAATAAAAAAAATTTTAGTATCGATAATCTGAAATATGTTGTTTACTTAAGCCGCTAGCGAAGCGAGCGGCTTAGTTTCGTAATTTCATACAATCTTTTTTCGAATCTGTTCTTTTCTTAAGCCGCTAGCGAAGCGAGCGGCTTAGTTTCGTAATTTCATACAATCTTTTTTCGAATCTGTTCTTTTCTTAAGCCGCTAGCGAAGCGAGCGGCTTAGTTTCGTAATTTCATACAATCTTTTTTCGAATCTGTTCTTTTCTTAAGCCGCTAGCGAAGCGAGTGGCTTAGTTTCGTAATTTCATACAATTATTTTTCGAATTTGTTCTTTTTGTCAACCGCGAGCGAAGCGAGTGGCTTTTTATTTTTAAAAAAATTTTTTTCTTTCTTACTTTTTTTTCCCTTACTTACAAATTTGATAGTAACTTACCAAATCTCTCTATCATATAATAATAAATTAATCCATTTTTTGTTTCAAATCTGACACGTTACATTTCTGACATGTAAACCTGTCACTTTTCACTTCACCTCACTGGGCAAGTTTGTGCCTCCCTCAAAAGGCAGGTTGTTATAATTTTGTATATGTATTACAGAAAAGCTTTCCGGTAATTCTTGACTTTACAACCTTTGTCAGATGAACAGAATATAAACCTCACAAAAATCGAAATTTAAACAAACTTCAGAAATATGAGCGGTGTTATGCACATCGTTTGCGTTGGCGCTGGATACGTTGGCGGCCCAACAATGGCTGTTATTGCAGAGAAGTGCCCTCACATCAAAGTCACCGTCGTCGATATTGATGAACGCAAGATTAAAGCCTGGGAAAACGGACCATTGCCAATCAAAGAGCCACACCTTGAGGAGACTGTTGCCATATCTAGAGGTCGTAACCTGTTCTTCTCCACAGATTTAGAAAGCAATATTGCTGACGCAGATTTGATTTTCATTGCTGTCGGCACACCAACAAAGGTTTTAGGTGTTGGTGCTGGTAGAGCTGCTCTTATTGACTATGTTGAGTCAGCAGCTCGTATAATTGGTAAATATGCCAAGCATTCAACAATTATTGTTGAAAAATCTACAGTTCCTGTTGGTGTTTCCAGATCCATCAAGACAGTTTTAAACTCCAACTCAACAAACGGACTTAAATTCCAGATTCTTTCAAATCCAGAGTTTTTGGCCGAAGGAACAGCGATTTCCGACTTACATAACCCAGATCGTATCCTCATTGGTCACGAGCTTACACCAGATGGCGAAGCAGCTGCAAGACTCCTTACAGATGTCTATGCAAACTGGGTTCCACGAGAGAAAATTTTAACAGTTAATGTTTGGTCATCAGAACTCTCCAAGCTTACAGCCAATGCATTCCTTGCACAGAGAATTTCCTCCATCAATACAATTTCCGCAATTTGCGAACTTACAGGCGCAAATGTCAATGAAGTCGCCCACGCCATTGGCCTTGATTCCCGCTTAGGCCCTAAGTTCTTAAAGGCATCTGTCGGCTTCGGTGGCTCCTGCTTCCAGAAAGATATCCTTAACTTGACATATATCGCCGAATCCCTTGGTCTCAAGGAAGTTGCCGATTACTGGCACTCGGTTGTCGATATCAACAACTGGCAGCGCCGCCGCTTCGTCAACGACGTCATCCATACAATGTTTGACACACTTCAGAATAAGAAGATCGCTGTTTTCGGATTTGCCTTCAAGGCTGATACAGGTGATACTCGTGAGTCATCTGCTATCTCTGTTATCGATATGCTTCTCGCAGAAAACGCTCAAGTCGCAATTTACGATCCACAAGTTCTCCACGAACAAATGATCTTCGATATCAAAGAAGTCAACCCAGCAAATACTCAGGAAAAGATTGACAAGCACGTTAAAATCTACGACGATCCTTACGAATGCGCAGACGGATCTCACGCAATCCTCATCATGACAGAGTGGAAAGAATTCGTAACTTACGATTACAAGCGTATCTACAACACAATGTGGAAGCCAGCTTTCATTTTCGACGGAAGAAACATCCTTAACCGCGATGAGCTTCGCGTCATCGGATACTGCACTCATGGTATCGGTGTTGTTCCAGACAGCCTCGCTCAATAAATTAATAAAATACAATAAAAATTATCTTTTTTATTTATGGAATTATATCCAGTTTTTAATCGCAAAATAAGCTAAGCAATGTATACTTTTTGTTGCTCAACGGATTTTCTTCAAATGTTGAATATTTTTTTTTTGGTCTCACATTTTCTTGAGGGTCCTGGGTATTATTTAAAACATTAGTCCATAGAAACACTTATATTTGAAATATTGCCTATGATGATTTTTTTGGGAATTTTGAATAGTCTACAAAATAGTCTCTTAAAAAATTGAATCAAAAACCGCCAGGACCCGTCAAATTTCCTGGACCCAGAAAAATGTGCTACGATCATAATAATTTGAAATCATAAATACTACCATTATGTATTTTATTTCCGTGTCAAAAGCTTTTGATAGTATCATTTAATCGATCTAAAGAAATTTTAATTTTTATTTGATATGAAATTTAACTGTTAATCAATTTCTTGAACGTCTTACAACTTATCGGTCAATGTTGAATTAATTTTTGTAAAACTAATTTTTTTATAATTTAAATATTCAAACAAAATTAATAAAAATAAATAAGTTAATCCCAATTTCCTGAGCTCATCAAACCCTTCTTCTTATTTGATGAGCTTGTATTGAGATCAGGCTTCTTGTGATCCGTCAAAGAGAAAGTTAATTCTCCGTCTTCAAATTCAGGTTCTTCGTAAAATGTTGGAACAAGTTTCTTTGTTGCCTTTTGAGGAGGCGGAGGTGGAACTTCTGGTTCTTCTTCTTCCTCATATACATATTCGTACTCCAAATCTAATTCAGGTGTTTTTTTATCATCATTTATTTCTACCTTTGTTAATTGAGGCTTTTCATCATCTTCATCAATGATTTCTCTTTGTTTTGGTGGTGAATATTCAGAGATTTTAACTTTCTCGATTTTAGTTTCTGGTTCAGGAGCTTCTTCTTCGTAAATATAATAATATTCATCGTCATCTTCATTTACTTGTTTTTCTTCTTCTTTGTTTTCTTTCACTGGTTCGAAAACTTGTTTCCTTGACACAGCAATGTCATCTCCAGCTGTATCTTCATCAGTTTCAAACTCAAAAACATTTGATTCGATTTTCTGATCATCATTCTTTAATAATGCATCGAGTCCTTGTTTAGGAATTTCCATATTAAGGATTCCTGGCTTTGAAACTGTTTCTTTTTGGCCAGATGAAGTGACAGGAGGCTTTTGAGCTTCATTTTGTTTAGGAGTTGAAATAGTTGGTTGCTGTTGATTATTGTTTTGTTTAGGAGTAGAAACAGTTGGTTGCTGTTGATAACTATTTTGTTTAGGAACAGAAATTGTTGGTTTTTCTGGTTCTTTTGGTTTAGGAGGTTCTTGTGACGTTGATGGTTTTTGTGGTTGATAGTTTGTATCAGGAGGACGAGTGAAATTATTTGGAGGGACGAAAGGTTTCGGAATTTCTTTAACTTTCACGGGTTTCCTGAATTCTTCTTCGTTAATTCCCTTCTTCTTTTTTTCAGGTTTTTCAATAATGTTTTCTTGAACTTTTTCTTCTTCATTAATTGGTTTCTTTTCTTCAACTTTTTCTTCATTTGGTGTATCTTTATTTTCGAATGGAAATTCGTTTTCTATTTCGTTTCTGAGTGCACCAATTAAATTATCATATTCTTCAACATCGCTTGAGATTTCTATCCTTAATAAGTTCCTAATTTCTTCTTTCTGTTCGTCATTTTCAAGGAAAACAGATGATTTCAATTGAATTGTTCTTTGTATTGATCTTGATGTTGCTTGTATTTGTTCTTCCTTGACTTCTTCTTCGTTTTTATCAATGATTTCTTTGGCTCTTGATATAAGTTCTTCAATGGTCACTTCACTTTCTTCAGAATTATCACTTTCATCTCCTAAAAGTGTATCATTCTTTTTATCTTTGATTTTTTCTTCGTGAATTTCTTCTTTTTCCTCTTCTTTTGGCTGAACTTTTTCTTTTTGCATTGGTTCTGATATTTGTATTGGCTTTGATGGCTTTGAAGGATTACTATTTTCAAGTTCGAATGGCCAATCTTCTTCTTCCTCTTCTTCTTCAATTTGTTGCTTGTTTCCATCCATGTAAATTTCAACTGGCTTCTTCTCTTCGACTAAAGTATCATTCAAAACTGGTGGTGGCTTTTGTGGTTGTCTTGGAGGTGATTGTTTGAGATCGTACTTAAATGAAATCATCTCGTCATCTTGATCAAGAACTTCTGAGTCACTTTTATCTGTGCAAAATGAAGGAACTTCTTCCGGAATCATTACAGAAGAACTGTTTTTCTTCATAAGTTTCGAATCTTCTTTTGTCATTTTTTCTGGAGATTTCTTCTTTGGAGAAATGTTTTGTTCTTTAGGAATTATTTCTTCTGGTTGTTTCTTCTTTGGAGAAATGTTTTGTTCCTTTGGAATTATTTCTTCTGGAGATTTCTTCTTTGGAGAATTGTTTTCAGTTGGTTTCATATTTGGAGAAGAATTGTTTTCTGTTATTTCTTCTTGTTGTGGTTTCTTCACTGGAGAATTTTGTTTTCTCTTTGGAGAAGATGGACTTGGTGAGTTGTTTTCTTGTTTCTTTGTTGGAGTGTTTTGTTTCTCTTCTTCTTGGTTCTTCTTTGGTGAAATGTTTGTTGGTCTTGGTGTTTCACTAAATGGATTCAAAGGTTTCTGTTGTTGGTTCTTAGGTGGAGAAGAACTGGAGCTGTCATCAACATCATTTCTTGAAAATGGTTTTGACATTCTTGAGGCTCTTCCAAACTTAGGTTTGTTAGGAACATAAAGATTCCTTACATTTTGTATATTTTGTTGCATCTCGTCAGGAATTGGAGTTAACGCGAATATGTCTTTCTTCTGGTTATCAGGAGGTGTCGATGTTTTATCACCAACAATAATTGCCGGTGGTTTTTCTTCTTCTTTCTTTTCATTTCCTTTGTTATTTCTATCATCAACAATAATTGATGGCGGTTTCTTTTCATCTTTATTCTGTGTATTCATTTGTTTCTTATTAACAAGTTGTTCTTCTTTCTTTTGTGAATTGAATGGATTTAAATTTTGGTTTTGTTCTTCTTTCTTTTGTGAGTTTATTTGATTTTGTTGTTTCTTTGGGGATTTTGGAGTATCTTTTTCTTTTTGTTCTTCAGCTTTTTGCTGGATCTTCTTTCTCATCTCTTTTACGATTGATGATTCGAATGATTCTGTTGCAAATTCCGAAGGAGTTGGAGCAGGATAAGCTTTTGGAATTTCTTTCTTGCTGTTCCTTGAAAAGATGCCTTTAACAGAATATGAAACAGATTCACTTTCATCGTCAGAACTGTCATTTTGGAATTTCCGTCTGGGATCATTTTGATTGGTGTCACTTTTTGTGATGTGTTGATTAGTGTCACTTTTTGGTTTAAATTTATTTTCATTAGCAGGAATTGGTTTATTTGAAATTGTAACTCTAGAAGATTTTCTCACAGTTATTTCGCTGTTTGATGGGATTCCAACGTTCTGGTGATCCCTTGACTTGTTGATGATTCTTGATGGAGATCTTGGCGATGAAACTTGTGGGATATTGTCGGGAATTGGTGTCGGAGGACGACGAGAAAGAAATTCGTTTTGTTTTGGTTTCTGTGGTGAAGGAGCAATGATGGAATTTTCTTCCCAAGCAATCCATGATTGGCTTAAATCATCAACGGCTGATGATAACGTTTCAAAGAGCTGTTTGTTCTTCTTCTTTTGTGGTATTTCTTTTTGTACTTTGTTTTCGTTTTGAACTTTTAATTCGTTTTGCATTTTTTCCCTTTCTTCAATCAGTTTTTGTTGTAATTTTTCTTTCTCAATCTCGTTATTTTGCCTCTCAACACGTATTTCTTCTTTAAGATCTGTATATAACTGCATTAATTGTTTGAATTCTGGTGTTTGTTGAATCGGAATTTGCGGTTGTTGTGGTTGAACGGGTTGAGGTGGTGCCTGAGGCTTTAGAGATCTGATCTCAAGCCAAGCGTTGTTGTAAACAGGATGATGCTTAACGAAATGTTGATCAAGATAATCGATGTTTTTGTATTTCTTACGGCAAATAGGACATCTTTCAAAATCTTGTGATTTCTTTTTCAGTAACTCGTCAGCTTTCTTGTATGACAGGTACAGCTTTTTCATTTTATCGTTTTGTGCTTTGTAGTCTTTCTGAAGTCCTTCAATCTTACGAATATATTGTTTTTGTACGTCTGACATGTAAAGGAGTGCAAATTGAGTGATTTGGCACATACGAATTAATAATGGATGTACTAACAATCGAGATGGACATGTTTCAAAGTCAGCAACGATAAAATCAGAAATAAATTTTTGTAATGGACCTAAATCGGGATTGTTTTTCAATAACGCAGGATCAATAGATTTAATTAATTCCCAATCTAATGGTTCTTCGTTTGTAACAGGTGGTCCTTGTGATGGAGCTTGATATGAACTTTGTTGTTGATAACCATAATCATTACCTGTGTATGGAGAATTTGCATATCCTCCATTCCACATGGCGCCAAAAAATTATAAAAAAATAAAAGCAAAGAGAATTGAAACAATAGATATTGTTTTTATATAAGGAAGTCAGAAGATATTGATGTCGACGGTATGAATTATGATCTTTATCTAAGTACACACCTCAAATCTTATTAAAATAGTCAATTGCAATAAGATTTTCAATATGATGGAAGTCGTATTATAATGCACTCATTGTGGCATATTCTATTAAAGTTAAGCAATCTTATGGATATGTTAATAATGCATAAATGGATAATTTTGAATCTAAAAATTTTATTGAATGAGCAAAACATAAGAATTTTAAGATGATATCAACTGATATGAGAAATTTCATTGATGTGAGTTATAGGAAATGCTTCAGATTAAGTTCTTGTAAAATGTATCCTGTTCCAAAGATCGGCGCTTCAGGCCAATAAAAAGAGAGAAAAATGGAGGAAGATGACGAAAACATAATAAATGCATCAGATAAGGGTCTATGGAATGCAATGTCGCTTTCGTTCATCAAGGAAAAGCTTACTGACAATATTACTCATCTCGATTTATCATCAAATCATATAAGTGTCGAATCTGCTCAAATTATTGCAGGATTTTTATCGAAAAAAGACTCACATTTGCAAGGATTAGCATTAGTAAACTCCCATCTTTCAACTCGTGCCTCAAAAATCATATTTGAAGCAGTTGGTTCATCAAAATTATACGAATTTTACGCAGATAATAACATTCTCGTCCAAGAAGCGTGCGAAGTATTCGGAAAGGCACTCAAGAACGGGCCGCCACTTGAAGTTTTAAGTCTTTGTGGCTGCCAAATTCCAAGTGAAGGAGGCATTGCAATTGCCGAGTCATTACCATCGTTAAAGAACTTAATGCACCTTAGACTAGAATCTAATAGCTTTTTCGACTTCGGAGCTCAAGCAATTGCTAAAGTTTTGAAAGATACAAAGATACAAAGCTTAAACATAGCAGATAATGAAATATGGCTTGAAGGCACTAACGAGCTACTCGAAGCGGTCGCAAATTCAAAGTTTATGAAATCACTTGATATATCTTACAATATTCTTGATTTAGATAATCTTGCGAAGTGCGTACTTGCAAATACAAACATTACAGAGCTTGCAATTAGCGGCGCTAAGATTCCAATTCTTCAATTATCTTCATTTTTAGAAAAAATGGTAAATTCGAATTTACAAATACTAATAATGGATGGCTTTGATCCAAATCAACTTCCTGTTGCATGGGCAAGAATTCAGGACACAATTTTCAAGCAGCCAGAATATTTTGATTTATTACAAAATTTAATCCTTAATTCCAAGACACTGGTTGACGTAAGAGTTGGATATTTAGAACTTGACCAAATAGCAACGATGCAAGAGACATTTGCCCATTTGAAACGTGAAATTTCGGTTTCAGTCCATGATTTCGGTCGAACAGGCAATTGTTGGGTATTTAACTATCCAGAGTTCACTGTATTATCACCTACAAAGCTGTTCAAGTGGGGAGAACCCATTTTAAACCCAAATTCTGCGTTTCAAATTGGAAATATTTTCTCATCAGCAAAAGTTGATGGGGAAATGCTGAATAGCATTGATGTTTCTGGTTGCCAGATGACTGATGAATGCATGAACCAGATGCTTTCCGTTTTAAGAAGGCTTGATCTCGATATCTTGGATATAAGTAATAATAATTTCGGAGATGAAGTGATCGAACAACTTATTTCGATGGCAGGCAGTTGTAAGGTCAGAGATTTCCACTGCGAGAAGAATAAAATCACTGATATCGGGCTAGAACTGTTTTTGGCATTTTTTGCCAAAGAATTACCAGAAAATTGTCCTAAAGAGCTTTCATTTACAGTCATCAGTGAGGACAAGAGTCCATACAGTGTCCATCCAGTCTTCCAGACACTCGCTGAGATTGTCAAACAAGGCTGCGACATCGAATCTCTTTGTATCGATGGTCAGATCACTTCTTTTGATGTCAAAACCGTTGTTGATGAATTTCCAGTTAATCCAGTCATCCACGAGCTGAGCGTTGAGACTGAGATGATGAAGGACTACTCCAGCCCTGATCCTCCAATCGATGAAACTATAACAAGAGGTTTTATCGATTTGTACACTTCACTTCACAAATTAATTTGTGAAACAGAAGGAAGTGTCCTCAGAGATTTCAAATTCCCTCTTCTGACTGAGATTTTCTTGTACTGCGATGCAACAGGAGTGAAACTGTGGAGAGAAATCAATGCAAAGCTGGAAGAGAATTTCAACAAATATAAGGAAAGTTTGAATAATAATAAATAAAGAAATATTTATATATTTTGTTTGGAATAAAATCATATTAATTTTTTTATACAAATGCTGAGTAATTATATTAAAGATATCTTTAAATAACAACAGATAGTTCTTTTAAATGAACTATAATGTTAAGGAATTGGTCAGGAGAATGGAAACCATATTCTTCGCGGCTGCCTCTCAAAATATGAGCGAAATGAAAGGTTTACCTGCGAAGAATATGGTTATTATTTCAAGTTTAAATTATAGCATTCTTTATTTGAAAAATGATTTGCCATAACATTCATATATAGAGTAAATGAATGTTTTCGTGAATAAAGTATATGGATTTTAGTCTATTTAATGTGTCAATTTAAAGGCCATATAAGAGAGAGCATAAAATTTCTCAAAAACAATTCACTAATTCATGAGAAGTAAACATCTAGCAATTGCCAAAAAGTGGAATGCTTTACAAGAAGTATTGCCCGAAATATAAAAGATTCTCCATAACCGGCATGCTTAAGAGAGAAATATAAAAAAAATCTCAATGATTCGAAGATTATCTAAATACATTTCAAATGTTTTAACTAATATTGTAATAAATACAAACAAATCTAATATTAAATAGAGGATAAATAAACTTCAATTTTTGATGATTTTTCTAATTAATGTACCAAAGTCTCCAATTTTGAAAATGAATGAGTTTCTGTTGCGATACTCCTTCATGTTTGCTGGGATCTCATAATTAATTTCTGCATCGTTCATTGTCACAAATTCTTTGATATTTCCCACAATTCCCTTGCTGAAAGGTGAAACCATATATGGCCAATCTTGAAGATATGTTATGCTTTCTCTTCGTCTGGCCTCCCAAACTGTGGAATTAGTTAATATATTATATAATTGTTCTGGAATAATAACACCAACATATAATGCGTGGGCAGTTGAAATTCCGCAAAGAATTCCGCATGGAAGATTGATCCAAAGAAAATATTGCAAATCTTTTTGGCGAATAGCAGGAAAGAAAGTGGAATAAGAAAATATGCTTTGGACTATAAAAGATAATACAAGGAAAATGAAATATGCTAAATGATTTCGCTGACCAATACAAATTCCAATTATTTGGCAATGATGATCTCTCCTTAATATACACCTATTGCATTCATAGCAATGTGAAGCGCGCATTGGAATTATATGATTACAATATTTGCAATAATAATTGCCGCTTTTCACTAAGGCATCAGGGCCCACTTTTCCTGGTTCGTTAATGGTTAACCGAAATGATATTATTGTGAGCGTTATTAAAATCATTAGTGAAAAAAATTTAATATATTGTTTAGAAAACAAACAATCACGAATCGGTGTATCAACTACAATATTAACAAGAAATGTCGAAAGTAAGTACACCGAGAGCAAAATGAATTTTCCAAATGGCGATACAACCATTTGATGAATAACTAATAATAGAAATGATAAGTTTATGTAACAAAACGTTATTACATAAATCAAGAAAGAATAAAACAACATTAAAATTGCCTAATGTAAAGACTTTTCCGGAATGAAATTTTTGGAACTGAAAAGCTTGGTTATCCAACTTGGCTGTCTCTGTAAAAAGTGATTTATTTTGTATTGGCATGCTTAATGGGATGTTTTCAGCATAAATTAACATAAACGATTGAATGGCTAATTTTGGGGAAAATTTTCAAAATCTTCTATCGTACGAACACTTATCAAATTCATGCTTAGTGGATTTTCACGCAGTTTAATGGGATATAGTGCATTCAAGTCTGATAGTGCATTCAAACAGAAAACAGCCGATACACTATACTCATTATGTGACTTTTTCCAAGCAAAATATGAGAACAAAGGTGATGATTTCTTTGCGGAAGCGACCGATAACTATCTCAATATATCTATGAAGGGTAGTCAGTTCCTTCTCAGCCGTCAATTACCTGGCCATCAAATTTGGGTCAGCTCACCAGTATCGGGTTCATTGAAATTCGACTACGATAACGAAAGAAACGACTGGTTTGATCATAAGGTCAAAGATCGTTCACTTAAAGTTTGTTTGACAGAGGAATTACAGACCGCATTTGGTTGTTAAATAGATTTTTGTATTAAATCATTTACTTTTTAACTTTTACATATAATCATTGTTTAAAATGTTTCTAAATGATGTGTTTGGTTACTTTTGATAAAAATTATCTGCGAATTAGGGCTATCATTTGCTAATAATAATATATGTTAACAAACTTCATAAATTACCTGCTTTAGTCATGTGATGAAAAACCTTAAACATGAAATAAATTTGAATCGAATTGAAAAACTAAATAGTGGGTGTTCTTGACGAATATATGGCTTTACTTTCTTATTTCAAGTTAATTCTTTATCTTTATGAGTGGTAATTTTTATCTTTATGGAATAGAATATCAATTGATGATAAAACTATGATTAATTCAGTGAAGATTGACATAAATATGTAAATTATGTATTACAATTGCATATCTCAGTTGTTGTTATTAGGATTGCCGAATAGATGCTAGAGATCTTTTAAATCATGGTAAATGCAATTCTGAAACTTTCAAATTGTTTTGAAATATGTATCGACTTACATAAATATAAAATGACATTGTCGGATTTAAAACCTTATAGTAATTGAAAAGGTGACCAAACTATTTTTTGAAAGTCCGCCATAACTTTAATGGTACTATTTCAGCGTGTACAATGAATACAAAAATTCTAAGAGTGCCACATAAAATAGTACTTTAGACTTGAGTTAATGCTACCAAGCAAATGTTAAAAAGATGACTTTAGTGTTTTGATAATCAAAGATTAAAATCATTATTGTCTAAATCAATAATCATAACGACAGAAGTTAATGTTTTTTCATCAGTGCTTTAAATCCACTTTTAAAAGTATACCTCAAAAATCAAAATATCAAAAAAAATTGGCCGATAGGTTTGGCTTTAATTTTTGTCTGCTTTTATGATTTGATATGGATGTTATAATTTTAAAAGTTGAGCCAAATTCACCAATAGATTTTTGAGATTTGCAAATACTCAATAATTTTCAGCGTGTTATCTTTTATTAAAAGAACTATTTGGTTTCAGTATCATATAAATTGATATTTACTTTCTATTTGAACCTTCATTTAGCTAATGATTTAATAATACAGATTTCATCTAGTCCTTATAAGAGAATTTTGAATTTGTTATAATAAAAAAACAAACAGATATAGCTTACACTTCTATAATAAAGATACCTTTTATAGAAATCAGTATGAAATGTGTTTTGGCTTATTGGAAGCATATCAGACATAATCGCCATAATCAAAAAATCTATATACCCAATAAGTAATAAATTTGTCGATATAGATTTTCCATAAAATTAGTTTTTAGTCTGATCTTAAAATAAATTTAATTTTTTATAAAAAAAATCACATTTAAAAGTACCTTTTTAGTAGCTCGAAATCCTGTTGGTGGATTTCGGGCGTACTTCAAAATTAGCTTTTCTTCTACATATGCAAGCTATATTTTAAATATGGAGCAAATCGGATCGGCGAAAGGAGTTTAGTTACCTTTGTAATTGATTGTGTTAAAAAGAAAATAGAATATATTATAAGGGTTTCGTTTTGCGAAAAAAACGTACAATACGCAATTTCGCTAAAAAACATTTAGCTAGCAATTTCGACCTTTGACTCCACTCAAGACGTCACTTTTTTAATTTTGCGGTATCATATTTTTGGAAAATCTTTATGAATATTATATAAAAAGTCTCTTTAATATCTATATTTCATATTTTTATCGATTTTTAAAGTTTTTGCGAAAAGTATTCAATTATTTTTGCTATTTGGTCGGGTAAATGTCAGATTTGCGACATTTTCTGATACGATATTCAGATTCTACGTTGATAATAATGCTTATAGAACCCTCTTGCTATTGTGTCAAAATTGCGAAACCGATAGCAAAAATATCTCGCAATATCAAAATTGAGATATTGAGTGAATTATGCATTATAGAGATTAAAAATCTGATTTGTGAAAACATCTCATCAGTTTCTAGCTAATTCAAAAATCTTTACTATCTTATTCGATTAAAATGAAAAGGGAATAGTTTCATTATGCTTTAAATGACAGCCTTATAATATAATCATAGTTTTCGCTCAATATGCAGCATTTTTTTTTCGAAATCTATGGTCAATGTCCTAAATACTGATTGCTTTGCATTCATATCTCTTACATTTTCTATACCCACATCACTATTCATTGCTATTCCTATCTTTTTCATTTTTGTTTGTTTCTCATAATTTCTCAAAAAACACGATAACTTGATATTTGTAAATATCATACTTTATAACGTAAATAAGAACTTGACCTATTAAGAAAAGCAGTAATGAAAAGAAAATCTGAAATTCATAAAAATTACAAGTTTCTGATGACAATTAGCTTAATTAAACCAGGTACAAGATTATATAATTGTATTTTCTATCCAATTATCCATATAATATCTTATCCAGAAAAAATAACTTGATCAATACCAAATGATTTTTTAACTAGTAAATAAAGTATTTTCTTTACACACACATTGTATATCATAGTTTTTTTTGGTTTCGCAAAACATCCAAAAACAAATATGCTATAAAAGTGACAATTTTAGCAAAACGAAACCCTTATATATTATAAAAACAATAAATTTATAAACAGAACAATGGGATAAGTCTAATAATCAGTACACCATAGGAATGAATTCGTCGAAAAGAAGCTCCTCCGGCTGGCAGCACTGAATTAATGATATATCTAGTTAGTATCTAGTAATTGGGTACCAAGGGTCTACACCCCTTAGTACTCAAATTACTAGAATCTGCAAAAAACCGTTTGACATGTAAAATATTTTGACATTTACAAAAATAAAAAAAATATTTTTTAAAAAATAAACTTAAAAATTAACGTTAAAATTTTTGACATTTACAAAAATAAAAAAAATATTTTTTTTAAAAAATAAACTTAAAAATTAACGTTAAAATTTTTGACATTTACAAAAAATAAAAAAAATATTTTTTAAAAAAAAATAAACTTAAAAATTGACGTTAAAAATTTTGACACTTCACAAAATAAAAAATAATTTTTTAAAAATAAACTTTAAAAAATTAACGTTAAAATTTTTGACACTACTCAAAATAAAAAATGATTTTTTAAAAATAAACTTTAAAAAATTAACGTTAAAATTTTTTATTTATTTTTTTTTATCATAGATTTTAACACCCAGAGTAAAAAAATAAACTTAAAAATAAATTAACTCAAAAATTTTTTAATTTCTGTATATACTAAATTTTTCATAAATGATAAAATTAATTTAGAGGGCTCTTTGAGCCCATCTCGCCGCTACGCGGCTTAGGGTAGATCTAACCCGATATCTAACCTCATTTCTAACCTTGTGAATTTTCAACAGTAAATATGCTGGCATGATTCAGGGATGTCATCGCTGCTGTCTTCAAACTCTTTTATAGATTCATACCATAAACGAGCTTCACGGGAGATGAGAAGTAATGAAGCGATAATTAATAATTTTTATATAAAAATAAAATTTATTATTTCATGAGGACTCTTTGAGTCCATCTCGCCGCTAAGCGGCTTAATCTGATTTATCCATTTCTTCTAACTTCTTCTTCAGTTCTGCTATATTATCTTCATATAATTTAATCTTTCTCAAAATACCATTTTTATCTAATGGCTGCTTAATTTTTCTAAATTGAACTCTACCATCTTTCATTTGATGAACATAAAAACCTTCTGGAATAGTTCCTGATTTAATGTATTCAACTAAAAACTTTTGTTTTGTTGCTTCAGTAATTTTAGTACTCATTTTATTAAAAGTAAAAAATAAAAAATATTTTTAAAATTAACTTTATTTTTTATGAGGACTCTCTGAGTCCATCTGAGCCGCTTAGCGGCTTCGTCGTCTTTTCCTTAATTCCTGCGGATCAACTAGGTCGGTTGAAGGTCTATTACTTTCTTTATAGTGTTTATAAAGTTTATAAGCCGCTATATGATAAGGATAATTAAACCATAAATACGCTTTACCTAAAGTTTTCAATCGATTATATAAATCATTATTGTTAGGCGTTTCAGGTGGTGCAGGGTATTCGAGAACATCTCTAACCATTTAATTACTTTAAAACTCTTGGTTTCTTTTTAGTTTTTAACAGTTTCTTTGCTTTTGCGATTTTAGCTAAAATATATCTTCGACCGTAATGGAACCAATTCGAATCTCCTGTTTTAGGGTCAAAAGGTCTTCCATAACCGCCAGGGTCATATGGTGCGACCGCAGTTACTGGCGCTGGTGCTGAATTAATCGGCGGTGCCTCAACTGGTGGATATTCTGGCTGTTTCTCCTTTTCTTTAAGTGAATTTAATTTAAACTCTTCACCATTCAGCTGACCTTTAAAATCTTTTAGCTGCTTAGATATTTCATTATCTTCACCTAAAAGGTTTTGCGACTGGTCAGCGACCCAGTTACCTAATTTCTTTAACTTTTCAGATTTTAATTTTCTGGCAGCAGCTCCCACAAGCATTCCAGCATTATTTTTTAAAGCTTTTGATACAGCTCCACCAGTTAAACCGTCAATAGCTTTATAACCTCCATACAAAGCTGATAGTGTTGAAAATACCATTTAATGCTTATTAAAATCATTTCTCATAATGATTAACTCATAAAATTTTTCATCGGAGCTAAACGTTAATGAAACTCTGACTTTTTCACCACTGAACCTCTTTATTAGTTCATTAATTCTATCAATTATATTAGCACATTTACTTACATCATCAATGATAGTAATATCATCACAAATTATTTTTACATTTAACGACGTCATTTATTACAAATTAATTTCTTCTATTCTTTAAATAATTAACTGCGGGCGTACTATGTGGGAGTTGCCTTCCTTGCGCTTTCTGTGTCGTGCTTGCTTGAATCGGTGTAGATTTTTTCAGACCTGTTGGAATAAGATCAGCCCCGGCAGTTGAATTAATCGGTGTTCTATATAAATTTCTATATAAATATGGTCCCGCTACAGCACCAGCAGCTAATAAAAGACCTACAGGAATTA